GGTGAGTTTAGCTGTGCACTGATTGTGGGAGTGAAGGAGCAGAGGACTTATTATTGACAATCACGGTCGGCGTGATGTGCTTGCAACAGTTTAGACAGTAGAAGTGGTTCAGAGTTGCTTGAGTCGTAAGTTATGCTTGTGACAGGACAGGCTTTGAGCGTTCATGCGCCTTAACACATTTTTCGTGTTCCCAGCACGTGTTCCTTCCAGGTACGTAACACTTGAAGGCTTGCTGTGCATAGCAGCCATGCACTTGCTCTTGATGCTATTGTCCTCGGGACTATCTTTTTACGGGAGCAGGTCCAGGAAAGTAGGGGCTTGCAAATGGGAGGTGCTTTTGATGTTCACATGTTTTGTGTCTTCCCTTTCTACCTGAAGTACTTTTCGTTGAATGGGGATGTTGGTTTATATGATGTTGTCTGTGGGCGAGCTTGGAGCCCGGTTGTACCCACGATTGGGATGTGCGATTGATGCTTTGCCAGCTTGTTTCTCTCTTTTGTATTTGGGGCTGGATATGCGCTCTTCTCAGTCTCATAAACCACTTGTCAAATGGATGGGATGATCACTGTTCACGTTGATTGCGCGCTGTTTACCACTGTCTATCACTTTGGAAAACTTGGTTGCAGTGGTTCGCAGCGGTTGCCAATTTGGTACAGTGGTAGTCACACCCGGTGGTAACATAGGTAACACAGTTGTAGAAATGGGGTTCAAAAGCAAGTGGATCCACATGTGGCGTTCGTCTTCATGGGAATCATCGTCTGCCGTCTGGCACTGTACCAGTAGTCAGTCTGCATGTGCTTTGCATGTCATGCGATCCTACTGGTAGTTCTTTGAGACATCATTAATATTGTATCTCGGGGTCTGTATTCTTGTGGCTTTTTCACATCAGTCAACGACCATGACGATAGCGTATTTTGTTGCGTTTGCCCATTTGCACCTGTTGTTTGTTCCAGTTTACGGCCTAGCCTTCGAAACCCAAAGGATTGCTTGCATCCTCCTGAATCTTGCTAGCAAGGATGTACAGTGTGCTAGCTTGTATGCTTTTTGCTTTTATAGCTCTTTTATGCATACACGTACTACTTACTACTGGCTAGTGGTCTACAGTAGCTATTAATAGTAGTAACAATGGAAGTTGGCATGCAGTTAGAGTGAACTATGGGGGGGAAGTGCAGTGCATTTGTAAAAGCGAACACTAATAAGCAATCACAGGGCACAACAAATTTCAATTAACTTGCAATGGCAATGGACAGGTAAGATATCGTACGGGCACTTATTACCATGTACTATCAGGGCGCCATGAACTTGTTCAATGAACATCCCAAAGAAGGGCAGTAGGTCATTGTGCCAGCACCTGCCTTACCAGGTAACCAGTGAGGGAAAGATAACTTGTGGAAGGTGACGCTTGACCCCTTTTGCTCACAAATCACACAATCTTCAACACAAAAAAAACGAACAACCCAGATCCAAAAACTAATCTTCCAATCTACAGAATCACTCATCTACATCTACCAGCTACCTGATACATCTATTAATAAAGCTACAGTACATTATTACATTACACGATGACGCAATTAGCCAATGCCATGAGACGAGCCGCCAGAATTGGTGGCCGTAGTTTCGTCGCAGTCACAGGCGCCTCCTCGGTTGGGACGCTCTACGACTGTACGTTTACAAGACGGACGAATCCTGGAAGCGCCTTATTGACTTTCATATTTTAGTGACGCCCATGTGCTGGGATTACTACCAATTCTACCGGAGCAAGAGTACGAGTAGCGCCGACGAGGAAGAGGAGCTGCTGCGTCGTTTGCACGAAAAACATGCCCCGTTGGCACTGCAACATGTGTTGTCGTTGGGAGGGTACTATGTCAAGTGTGCCCAAATGTTCTGTGGAATGAACCTCTTGCCTGTGGCATACGAGAAAGAGTTTTCGTGCTTGTTGGACTCTGTTCCAGCGAAACACTCCTTTGCTACCATCCAGTCCATTATCGAAAACGAATTGGGTGGCAAGCTCCAGGATCACTTTGCCGAGTTTGACGAAACGCCCATTGCTGCCGCCAGCATTGGACAGGTTCATTGTGCCAAGGTCCGAGACAAAAGTAGCGGAGACGAGGTACTGAAATCCGTCGTGGTCAAGGTGCAATATCCGGAGGTAGAGAAATACTTCAAGATGGATGTCCTCGGCATGAAGAACCTGTGCTATTTATGTACCCTTTGTGACATTGAAATTGGAATCGATCAGCAAAGCTTGGACAAAATCTTCAACGAATTCACCAGCTCCTTCCAAGAAGAGTTCGACTACCGATTGGAAGCCCAAAACATGAAGCTCATTGCCGACAATATGGAGGCTGTGCCCGAATTTGCAAACTCTGTCAAAGTCCCACACCCGTTTCTGGATACCACCAGCCGCAAAGTTTTAACCATGGAAAAGATACAAGGCGAGCCGATAAAGAAACGAATGAACCGCATTCTTCAAGAATGGGCCGAACGATCCGGCAAAACAATGGAAGAATTGCAACAGGAGCTGCAAGACAAGTTCCAAGATCCCGTCGAGCTCCAGAAAATGATGGAACAGAAACCGCCGTCAAAAGCTCAACTATTTCTCTACCGGGTGATGCTATGGACTTGGGATTTGGGGGCCAACACCGGTGTCTGGCTGGAAAACCAATTACGTTCCAGCACGCAACAGCAGAAAGCATACAAATGGAGTACCCTCCCGGTCGACGCCTCCCGTATCTGCCGCCTCCTATTCCAAGTCCACGCCCACCAGTTGTTTATCAATGGAGCCTTCAACGCGGATCCGCACGCCGGGAACATTCTGATCTGTGAAGACACCAACAACACTAATAACGGCGCTCCCATTCTAGGGCTGATCGACTTTGGGAATGTTCAACGGATCCCCAACCAAGATCGGCGCAAAGCGTTGGCAAAGTTTTACCTGTCCATGGCCACAGATTTTAGCAACGACAAGAGCTCCTGGAACGATGACGAAATCGCTCGTCGATTTGCGGCTGTGGGAGGCGAGTCGGTCCACATGGACACTGCCTTTCTGGCATGCAATGCGCTCACCATGTACGATATGCGTTTTGACGCGGCCACATTGGCCCGACTGTCGCTCCGTCATTGATTTGTAGAATTTCCAGGACTGATGTTTAGTCCCGCGCACTAATGGGCGCCCATTAGTGCGCTCGGCGCACTAATGGGCGCCCATTAGTGCGCCGAGCGCTCATTAGTGCGCCGCGGCGCACTAATGAGCGCTCATTAGTGCGCGGGACTGAAACTGTGGGACTGTTCGTAGTTTGTAGATAATCGTACTGGGAATGAGATGGTATGCTTCGACGCCCCTCGGTCGATCCACGAATCGAATCTCCTCATGTACCGACCAACCTTATGGATGTGTACTCGGAAGATAACTTTAAGGAATTCCCCGCGGATCTGGTCAGCTTGCAAAGGCTTTGCCAGACGCTGGCGGGCGTAGCCGGCATTATTGGCGCGGGTCAGCCCTCGTGTGCTCGCATGTGGGAAAGGCAATGCCAAAAATTGGTACAAGACAGCCCTGCCTACTAGCTATAGCTAGCTGGCTAAGACTAATTCAACTCATTCATCCATCCATATCTATTGCCTTTGTTAGGATATTTGCAATCGCAACAAAAGATTGGAATCCTTCTCCAAGAATACTTAGCCGTCCTCATCGTGCAGTGTCGTGACCATTATTTGTTGATGCGTTCATCCAGGTACTGCGAGCTTTGTCTTCCCACTCTTTCTGGGCTCTGGCCTTGAGATTCTTGTTCGACTGGCGCTTGTAAAAGGCTCCGTTCGCCTTGCCGTCGCTGGTGACGGTGTCAAGTTGGGAATACTTCCGCCTGCTGTTTCTGAAAAGAGGAGCGATGTGTTTCTCCAAGGCCATTTTGTCTTTTTCGTAGACTGCCCTTACTTCTGGATGGTGGACAATCCAACGTTTCTGGAGACAGGAAAACCAATGCCCTCGCATCTTCTTCCATTTGCCTGTGTCGCGAACCGCTTTTTGGTCCAATTCTTGTATCACCGGCCTTCTTCCCATTTTGTCCGGTTCGCCGCATATAATGTCTTCGAGGGAGTGTCGCTGCTTCTTATTCTTGTCTTTCTTGAATGAGTTAGGAGTGACTTCTCGGCAATGGTCGCAGTAGCTACACCACAGGTAGATAGAATCGGGAGGGATCTGTCGCAATGTCTTACTCAGAGGGTGGTCCACGTCGGGCACTGCGTTATTGTCAGAGTCACCATCAGCGTCGTCGTCTTGGACATAGGCCGCTTTGTCAATTACAAGTCTACGGGCCGGCCTCCCTTCATAGCTCCAGTCAATGGGAGCGCCAGGCTCAAGTACAACCATCCACTTGGAAGGTTTTACTTTAATTGGATTGAAGACCAAACGTCCCTTGCCTTCGTCCCCGGCGTCGCTCGCCGCTTGTTTCTTGTCTTCCTCCTCCCACTTTGGGCTGTTGTGGGGGCGAGCAGGAGATGTGGTGTGACGGGGTGAACCCAGTTGCTTCTGCAACTTCTTCTTTGCCGGCGACTTCTTCCGATATGGATTGCTCTTCTTCTTCTGCTTCAACAACGACGACTTGCCACTGCAGACTGTAGAAAGAACTGTCAGAACCTGTGAAACTATGAACTCGGCCAATTGCTGCAAGGACTTACACTCCCGTGCCACCGTAGACACCACTGATAGTCTGAGGACGTGACGATTTCAATAGCTTCTTCGCTTCTTGGCAACAATTTGCCTTCTCAAAGGCCAACCTAAAGTTGATGTGAGGATTCTTCACAGGAGGAGACTCTTTGACATCCATTTCTTCATCGCTCGATGAGTTCGCGATAGTGATTGTAATAGGCACATCCACGTCATCGGTTGAATCGATCTCATTTCCCAGATTGGTTGATTCCTTCTTGGCGGTGTCGGCTGAGATGCACCTTGTGTTTGTAGTGCTCCGTTCGTTGGGGGCGCCCTCTACGGTTGGAGGAGAACATTTAGGACCTGCTCTCACAGCAGCCGAGGCAGTGGCATCTTCATCCAGGAGGTTGTTCTTTGCCTTCGCCTTCTCAAAGGCCAAGCTAAAGTTCTTCGCCGGAGGGGACTCTTTGACATCCATTTCTTCATCGCGATAGTGATTGTAATAGACGCATCGAAGCCATAGGTTGAATCATTCTCATTTCCCGGATTGGTTGGCTCCTTCTCTGCTGTATCGGCTGAGATGCACATTGTGTTCTTAGTGGTCCGAACACTTCTGAAGGTTTCGTTGGGAGTGCCCTCCTCAGTTGGAGGAGAACATTCTGGACCTGCTCTCGCAGCAGCCGAGGCAGTTGCATCTTCAACAGAAAAGGTGACCGTCTTGGTTTTCTTGGCCGTTGTCGCGGGGTCTTCAGGTTGGGCCACGAGAGCTCGCTTGACATTAGTGCTACGGATGCTCACAGTGGCATCCGTCAAGTAGTTCCAAGCTAGTTTGCGTGCTTCCTGCTTGACTGCGATTCGCATACCGTTGATCCAAAAGCCCCACTGTTGGTTTCTTTGGTTGGGAAACATGTCGTCGTCAAACTCTTCCAGCACCGAGTTTCGAACATCGGCGAGTGTCGATGTAGGAGAAATCTCGATCGCGGCTTTCCCCTGGCCGTAATCGATCACGAGATAATCTCGGCTGGACTTGCTCTCCATCGTGAAGAGGCAGAATCGAATGACAAATAGCTTTGGCCTTCTCCCTTTTGCAAATTAGTTTAGCCCGTCGGAAGGAAGGAAAATGAGAGGAAATTACCATCGGGAGAGTTCTCCAGAAAACCTGAGAGAGTGTCACACCCCGCCAAACTCCACTCGTTTGCAATCGTGGAAATCGCCACGCGCATCGTTGAGAGATTCAAAAATCGCCACCCTCCGGATGGCAAGGAATAGATTCGATTCAATAGCAAAAGCCTGAAAACTGTTCTGTTCTGCCATTTAGCCCCTTATGATTTGCTTTCGCTTGGAATCTACATACCGGTACGTAGAAGGAAAGCTCCTCAATGGTCTCGAAGCTGCATTGCCGGCACCGGAGGGGTGCGACGTTCCAAAGATGTGTTCCATTGGTACCACACCGCTAGCGTCCCTCCTCCGCAGTGTGAATGCAAAACCTGTCGTCATCATACCCGGCATCGTCACTCGTTTGATGGCGGTCGCTCTTTCCCAGAGCCACACCTCGTGAACCCATTTGCTTGCTTGTAGAGCTATGCTTGAACTCGACATGGTTGCGCAGTTAGTTGCAGACGAGGCATGCAGTGAGATCTGAGGTGGCTGAGTATATGAATGTGTATTGGTTCTCCTGGTCGTCGTCGCTCTGGTGTTTACGGCATAGCCAGCGGCTTCCGCGGTGAGATATCGCGTACGATCTGGTTCAGAATTAAATTATATCTGCATTCCAAAGTGAAAACCAAGGCAGCTGCTTGTCCCCCGTAGCAGCACCCATCTCTGCGATGTAATTTTTGTGCATCGATCGGTCCATGAGTATTGTACGAAAAAAGAGTGTCAAGTCTGTTGTTCCAAAGGCTGAGCATGCATTTTTGTCGGGGAGAATAGAACGTTTCCTTATTGGGTTGGGGCGTTGCGGGCACCGACAACAGCTGTTTTGCTTCTCTTCGGGTAGGCAGCTCTTTTTGGTGGATTGCATTTAGAAGAAGGCCACTGCTGGTAGCAGCAGTGCATTCCCCAGAATAAATGTAGCAGCAAACGTGGCTTTTGTTGTCATGATCGTGATTCCACCAACTCCATCACTACTCGAAGATTGTTGTTGTGGATACTGAGTTCTGGGAATGGGCTGACAGGTATCATTAGTATTGCCTGCTGGCAGTGGCGAATTCCATTCGACGGGCGACGGAGAACAGCAAAACTCTTGTAACGATGGTTGTCCCTCGTCCCACGGATCCGTCAGAATCTTGGTTGCATTCTTGTTCAAGTAGGCCACAACCGAGGTTTCCAAATCCCGACAGGAAATGCCCAGGGGTGGAATGATGCGGTCGGTTGCCATTGCATCTGTGCAAAGAGACGTCGTTGCCTTTGTTGTTGGAGGATTATTGTTGTTGTCGTTGTTATTACAACAAAAGTCCCGTACATGGAATCCATCAAATTGGACCGTGGGATCTGCGTCAAAAACAGTGCACTGTTCCGGTGCCAATCGTTCGACCAACCAGTCATAATACTGACAGGTTCCAAAGTTGGGTCCAGCTACGGCATTTTTATGGCTGTGCAGTTGGGATGCCAATGGATTGACTTTACAGGGATCACTTGACGTCTTGTCCCCACAGAGTGTACATGCCGGCAAGGAGACGGTTTCAGCAGGACAGCCACACCACGTGTCCATTCCAAAGGTCAAATACGGACATTTCAAGGCAACGGCATCACTGCCTCGACCAAAATGATCGTATTGCAGACCGGCAAAGAGCGCTTGAAATTCACACGTGCCTTCCACGGGAGTAGTGGGGACTACCACAGTCTTGTTGTAGGATTCATCGCCATCTTTGCAAATCCAACACGCTCGAACTGAACTGGGAGGAGTGGGACAGCCACAGTACTGATACGCCCAGAGTTGACTGACCTGACAGACAAAATCGGAATTCGAACGTCCTACGCCAAATACGGACGACACGGCGTTGGTCGGAAAGTCCGTCTGGCACGACAAGGAGACACTAGACGTCAGCCAAAATGTAGTAGTTGTACTGGTGGAAGTAGTAGAAGAAGAAGGAGGAGACCCATCGGCACACACGGAACACTCGGACACATCCAAACGTTCCACCAAAGCCACAGTACCACCACTATTCGACTGAGCAGAGACCAGTGATACCAGCAACAAAACCAGAACACTCATTCTCATGTTGCTGCAGCCCAATAAAAAACACCTTGTTTCACTTGCAGAATTTGGCAACCTTCCAATCTCTTGCACCTGTACCTTCAGATGGTTCTGTAATGTAGAACTTGGAAGATAGCTAGCTAGCTAGATATAAGACTGCTATGATACCGGTAGCAGAAGACTTGGAACGCCTCAAGAAGCCAGGTTGTGAGATGTTGTGAGAAAATTGCAAGTCAAAGATCGAAAGCAGAAAAGATCCAAAACAGGGTTAGGGATTCAGTTCAGGTAGATGGAGTAAAGCTTCAATGGTGGGGTTCTTTTCCGGGACTAATTGAAGCCTTTTCTGTATTCGTTTCCCCTTAAATATTCCTTTCTCCCATGCCACGAGCCGAGATGCCAAGATCCATTCGACAAGAGAAACGACGACCAGAAGGTTGACAAGCCAATAAATCGTCGGGTCATCTTTTCACGTGAAAGAGCTGCACCCAATCTAGTGTCCGCACAAGGGTTGAAAATCTTGAGTCATGACTTGAGTTTTGAGATTTGACTCAAGTTGGTGCTCAAGTCAACACTCAAGAGAACCACCCCTGTCCACACGGCAACATGGTAGGAGCTGTACCACTATTATCCCGGTCGCCGATTTGGTGGGTTTTTGGGTCCTCAATTTCGTGCTTTTTGGGGATCATTTGAATATTTTAAAAGCGAAAATTAAATTTTGCCTTGATTTGAACATGCGACTTGGCAAAAAGGCGGTGACTCAAGTCAACCGTGTTTTTGCAAAATCTTGAGTCATGACTTGAGTGCCAACTCAAGTCAAATCTCAAAACTCAAGTCATGACTCAAGATTTTACCCTTGTGCGGACATACGAATGAGTACTGTACTCAGGAGTCTCAACTTATTCTAGTTAAATCGAAAATCGCCAAGGAAGAAGGTTGGTGGTTGGTGAAGTAATACTGAGAGCCCCTGAAACGCACGCGGTTGTATTATACGTAAAACATTTTCACTATGTATTCTACAGATCATACGTATTACACATATAACCTTTTTAATATGTATTGGACAAGTCATACGTACAACACAAGTAACACAAGTGGAAAAATATTATACGTATTACATGCATTATGTATTGTACGTGTTTTACGTATAATACATAGTGACGAATTTTTGCTAAGTTTTTTTGCCAGGTGTTTTGCTAGGTGTTTGGGAGGCAGAGAGGAAGATGCACTGTTGCAGGCCATAATACCTGACAGCTTATCAAGTAAAATGGACTCTTACCTATCTGAACTCTCCCATGTTGCTAGATACAATATCAATGATGAAGAATGGACTCCTGCTTCAATCATTGTGAATGTACCAACCTCACTAACTGATGATACACCAAAGGAGATAAACATTATGGATACTCTGGGGTTCGATAATTATCGAATGGAGAAATCGACGGTGTATTGGCTACCTTCGATGTATCAATCTTGTGATTCGGCGCATATTAAAGAAGTTTTGATGCCATACTTTGTACTTTCTTGCAAGACTGCTGGATTCCGTATCAAAAACAAGGGTGCACTACGCTAAAAGCTAGTGTAAAGATCTTTCGAGTGTTTTGAGTTTGAGAGAATGAAAGTTATAAGAGGATTAGAAAGCTATGAAAACTAATCAACGAGAGAGATCCACAATCAAAGGATCGTAGATCTGAACTCCCGCGGGAGACTGTAGAGTGTGATAGAGTAGGTTGCGGTAGCAATCCTACTCACTCCACGATCCAAAACGGAACGCGTGGAAGATTCGTCTAGCATTTATCTAGTAGCGTGGAATCTCTCCACGCCAGCTAAATATCTAGCGCGATGTTTCACCATCGACCTAGTATGACTAGCGGTCATGAGAACCCTGTCTCAATGACTATTCACGAAAGACCATCATGTCGAACTCAAACCCTATCTAGGATCGAGTCGCGAATAAGGCTAAGAGCCGTGTATTGCAAGGGATTCGATAAGAGGCGGAATCACATTACCATATGTTGTCCAAGGAGTCGTTTTTACAAACAAAGGTCCCAAAAGGAGAGCAACAAAACCACCCAGACTCAGCTTCCTGTTGAGGGGGAGGGTGTCAAATGTCCATTCTCTTTCGATGTTCTATATAGCCAGGAACACAGACGATGGTATCTACCCAAGTTCCAGACAGGCAACAAGCTTGATCGTGGCCATGTACAACTGGAAGATGCACAAGTGAAAGTGTTAAGTACTCATCTTGGCACAGAAGCCGTTACACTAGCGGAACAATGCCTAAAGAACCATCTCTCGCCAAGTGTTGTTAAGACTTTACTTTATGAACGGGCAGGCTCATCTCTAACTTCGAAACAAATCGAATCTCTAAGGAAGAGTCTGCATCAAGGAGTGGTCTTGTCTTTGGTGAAGCCAGACGGTACCATCTCTCAAGTATCACATCAGGAGGCTACAGCAGCAGATAGGCTACTTGCCAGATTGCAATCCGATCCAACAAAATCGTTCGTTGTCCTTTTTGCCTCATATGACTCCGGCCTTCTTCGAATTAGACAATCACATAGGGGAGCCACACCTCAGAACATTGATCCTGAAGCACTGACAGATGAATCTGACAGTGCTGAATCCTTTGCGAACAAAGTAAGAGAGGCTCTATCCATTACAGGTTCCGGAATGATTTTGCTTGCACTTGCCTGGACAAGTGAAAGTTCCCAGAGATTGTTCCAAATGTATCCCGAGTTCAAGTCTGGTGATATCACCTACAAAACAAACTCCGAAAAGAGGGAATTGCACATCGAGTTCGGCGCTTCGCGGTCATCAGAATGGCTTGTTGAATACATGAAACAAAGTTCCGGAGAGTGATTTCTTCTGGGAAGAAGGGACCAGGATTGTCAGGGCCAAAGGGAATCTCCTCCTCAGATTCCTCAGCCTTCGTCTCTTCTGCATCATTCTCGTTTGCCCCTTGACCGTCTTGCAAACCAGATTCATCGTCAGAATCCACCATGATGCCTAAACGAAAATACTAAACAAGAAACCGAAAATAGGTGAGACAACGAACACGGGTAATACATATAATACAGCTGATACGTATAACACGGGTGATACGTATAATACATGTTACACGCGTAACACGTGTTACACGCTAGATACGTATAACACGAGTGATACATATAATACACGTTACATGCATAACACGTGTTAAACCATAACACGTGTTACACGCGTAACACGTGTTGCGCGCTGAGGTACTTACATGGGTTCAGTACTGGTCCCTACAGAAAGTGGTTGACAATGGTAGAATTCAAGGCCAGGTCTTCCACAGGCTTTGTCAGTGAGCCTTCAGAAGTATATGAATGCAAAGAGAATGGTCCTGAAGGCTGTACAGGGCCTGAGGAAGAGAGTGGAGGCAGAAAAATGGAGAATGAGTTGAATGAAGAGAAATCATTCTATCTTTCCACAGGAACAGTCTTCTTGGCTTCAACAAAGCCATACCACATTGCCTACTTACCCACAATGATGGTGCTATCTTCAAATAACAAGAGAAACCTTTGTATCCTTCAAACAAACAAGAGAAGAGAGGTTGTTGTCATGGTGGTTCTTTGTGGTGGAGATTGGAGTTGAAGTCAAAAGTCAAGTCATTTTGCGAAACTCGAACGGTCACGGTGGCTGGCTGGCGCGCGTGTTATACGTGTTGTACGTATTCTACACGTAAGACGTATTACACCTGTTATACGAGTGTTACACCTGTTATACGAGTGATACAAGTTATACGAGTGATACGAGTGATACGAGTGATACGAGTTATACGTGTAACATCGCGTGCGTTTCAGGGTCTCTCATCTCAGCTCTACCAGGTACCGGTATCACTTTAAAATTAATATTGGCTGGATCCAGCAGCTTATTAGCTGATGCAGCTACCGTATGCAACATGCAAAGGTGCACATGTTGGATGTTGGAGATACCGGTACTGTACATGAGCTTGTACATGTAGAAAGAATGAAACACCTATAACAACAGCCCATAAAATAGTCGGTAGAGCAAGGCTGCGCGGTGGGTGGTGGGTGCGCTTCGCAAAATCAGCGTGTGGACTAGGGCCTCGGCACGCACGTGCAATTGGGATCAGGGCGATGTTTTCTGCTTGAATCATTCGATTCTCGTTTGGCTTGAGGAGCGACCCCTTCCAAACCGCAACCGAGTCGCTACCAGCCTGTGTAGCAGATCGATGTTGCCACGCCATACCGGCACCGTAGTGAAGGTCGTTGCCTGAGGTCTGAGGTGCATGTATCCTCTCGCGAGGTCCAAACTAAAGCCAGCGCAAGCTGTAGAGACCCACATTCCCTCAAGGAAGGAGCAAAGTCAGAGAAACCAATGCGTCTTTCAACATTCCTTCTTCTTCCTTTCAGCGGACTTGAGTGTGGGAAATACGGGGCCTCGGCTTATGAGTCGAGTCCTTTTAAGATATGCACCTCTGCACCTCTTGTAGGAATGATTGAATCATTCGTTCTTTTAAATAAATACCAGTAGATGTTGAGCTTTTTTCCTTCTTTGATTTCCAGGTTCTCTGTGATGGCAAGGAGTTCTGACGAATGTACGGTGTTGCGCATGGTGGATCATGAAGACGGCTCTACAGCAAGTCAAGGTAACCAATGTACTAGGTAATTAGTAGCGAGCCACCTGTTGTGCACTGTACAATGCAAGGAGTGCAAAGTTGTACCGCACAATGGCCTGCTTCGCTCTCTACAAATTACGGGCATTCTCTATCAGAGCATGTTCCAAAATTACGGGCCTTGCCCGTACGAAAGTATACCTCCTTAAAAGCTATAACTTATCGGCTTACATAAGGATGTGATTATGTATTTTCAAATGTAGATATTGCGTACTGTTCCGACTAACCAGATACTGCACAATACGTCGCAACCAGTCAGTCTCACTGCACTCGTGAGCTTGATACTAAAGAATCGAATCAACTGTCAACATGGCCTCAGCTCCAATTCATTGGGTTACTCTCAGGGCTGTTCATGAGGTGCTGTGGCAGCTGGAGGAACACTACCAGTGGCACCTTGAGTACCTGTGCTGGCTTCAGCGCTGGTGATAACCGGTGGAACAGTGCCAACAGTTTCCTGAATTCCTGTGGTAACAACCGGTGGAACTGTACCAATGGTGGCTTCAGTTCCAGCAGGTGGAACAGAACCAACAGTTTCTTGCGTACCAACGGTCGCTGGGGTGCTTGTGACAGCAGGTGGGACGATACCATTCGCAGCTTGAGTGTTTGTGGCTAATTCAGTGCTGGTAACAACCGGAGGAACAGTCCCAGTTGTGGCTGAAGTGACAACCGGAGGAACAGTACCAGCAGTGGCTGAAGCAACTGTGGCAACAGGTTGGATGGTACCACTGGTAGCTTGAGTGCTTGTGGTGGCTTCAACACTGCTGGTGACAACCGGAGGAACAGTACCAGCAGTGGCTGAAGCAACTGTGGCAACAGGTTGGATGGTACCACTGGTAGCTTGAGTGCCTGTGGCGGCTTGAACACTGCTGGTGACAAGTGGAGGAACAGTTCCAGTAGTGGCTGGAGGAACGTGCAACAGGTGGGATGGTACCAATGGCGGCTTGAGCACTTGCGGTGGCTTCAGCGCTGCTGGTGACAAGTGGAGGAACAGTTCCAGTAGTGGCTGGAGGAACGGTGCCAACAGGTGGGATGGTACCAATGGCGGCTTGAGCCTTGCGGTGGCTTCAGCGCTGCTGGTGACAAGTGGAGGAACAGTTCCAGCAGTGGCTGGAGGAACTGTGTCAACAGGTGGGATGGTACCAATGGCGGCTTGAGCACTTGCGGTGGCTTCAGCGCTGCTGGTGACAGCGGGTGTAACAGCGGGTGTAACAATACCATTGGTGGCTGGCGGAACGGTAGCAGCAGCCGGGGTAACAAATGAAACTGGATTAGTGGTTCCAGCAGGTGGCACAGGTCGGTTAGTAGAGGCTGGAGCAATACCTGTTGCATTGGTATTGGGAATTTTTGCAGTTGTGACAACAGCAGGAGATTCTGTACCCGTGATAACGGCAGGTAATTGTAAACCTGTAGACTCTGTGGTGGTGCCTGCGTCAGATTGAATTGCGTCTTCTGTGCCATCCTCTGCATAGGGCACTCCACCGGTAAGTTCCAGTACCTTGGCAACAATTTGCTGTCCCCAGATCTCTTCTCCTTGGGCACTAGGATGGACATAGTCTGGCAGTAAGGCTGGGTTGACAAAATATCCAACTTCAGGATCACGAAACAAAAAGATGGCAGTGGCATTGAAGAAGGACAGCATTTCGTGTTTGCTTGGAGTGATCTCTGCCTGTGCCAGCTTTTGCTTGCGGCGTTCATTCTCGGACTCGACATAACAATCCAATCGTTGATTGATATCAAACAAGGCAGCATAGTGAGGATTATCATCCCGTTTCTCATTGCCTCGTGGCAAGATAGAATTGATGACAATGTGTGTGCTTGGATGAGCCTGGCGAATGGTCATTACAATCTTGATAATGCCAGCAACAATGGCCTCTGAGTCAACACCAACATGCCAATCTTCAGTTCCAATCAAGAGCCACCAAACCTTGGGCTGAAACTCTGGTGGCATTTCTCCATTTTCAAGCCTCCACAAGAGATTGGCACAACGATCACCTCCAATCCCATGGGCCATGCCATCAATTTGGCCACCACCATGTTTGGTAAAGAGTTCTTCAAACACTTCATGATCCCGATGCAAGGAAGGTTCATTCATGCCCATGTCCTTACCTTCCCAATGCTCAACAATCGAATCTCCAATAAGAACAACATCGAAAGGATTCGTTTCGGTAGTGACACGCTTCGTCACACCACGAATGTGGCGGACATTGAATTCAAAGGCATAATTCCATTCAGCTCTGAGAGCCGAATTATCATCATGACGCTTTGCAGGGATGGTGGGATTTTCCCAATCACAGTCAGGGACCTTAGAGTCAGAGATTGATATGGGCGGGGAGGAAACAAGAGAGGAAGAGTCAGATGCTCCACAAAACAATGAAAGCTGCAATAATCTGTACGTGTGCTCACCTCTCGACGACATGCCGATTCATCTTCAATGACTTGAGTCTCAGCAATCAGCTGCAGAAAGGAACGATTCTGGTTAAGTTCAAATTCACACTGGCTGAGCTCGTAACCAATTGGATTATGGAAATGAATGGACTTATCAATGGCCTTTTCATTTTCCTGAAGACTCTTGTTGCTGCTGCTGTGTTCTTCATAGACAAAGACAGAACTGCTCAAGACCGCTGTAGCAATCACTACAAAGCCGATGGACAAGGCAAGTTTGATGAGGATTTCTTTTCGACGTTGTCGACGTTGGGCGCGGACTGTATCGTGCACGTAGGCATCTAGCTCTTTGAGATTCATGACACCAAGGCCAGTGTTGCCACTACTAGTGTAGATGCCATTATATTCAGCACGTGTGTTACCGAGAGGACTTGTTGCTTGGGCCGGAGGTTCTCCTTCGTCATACTCGCCGTGCAAGTTGGGTTCTGGAATCGACGGCAATGCATCCTCTTCGTCTTCAAAGGAGCTGACAGGAAACATGGTTTGGTGATTCTATTTCAGTAAGAGAGCGATATTGGCTGTTGACAATCAAACTCGACGCAACTGCTATTTCTGGCACAACAGAGTGGTAGAAGTGAGAGTCGAGTCGACTATGGTTGCCTTCGTCTCAATTTGTTTTGCTGTCTCAGATAGCCAGAGACGACCATTGTTTCCGTCATCTGGTCCATGAACTGCGTTGTGGTATTTTTGTGCATCAGCTATCCCACGCTGTGCCCGCTCTTGGGTCATCGAATCTTTTGGAAGATCGGGCTTTCCCACGATCTCCCACCGGTACGGTACCTAAAGAACGTATCAGTATCCAATTTTGTAGACAATGCTTTCAAGCTACTTAGGCTGTTTCATCTTGAAGAATTAGAGGGACGTCGCCATCTTGGATCGAATTAACCGTTCTACTTGGGTGGCTGCTCTCGCTGAAAGGCCCCTCACATTTTCAACGGATTTGCTCATCATTCGTGTCCTGTTCCAGACGGCAGGCACTCCCTCCCGCTACTGTAGCTAGCACAGTTCATCGGTGCGGTACCATTTTTAATGCATTCGTGAACCTTTCCACCATAATACCTCTATTCTCTTTTCCTTACCTTGGTCATCACTAACATTATCGAATACTAGTAGTACGGGTGTTTGGATGACAGGTCAAGATGGGGCCTCCACTTTCGTACCGCTATATTGGTACTGGAAGAACCAGCACCACTAGCACTGTGGCTGGTAGCGATAGTGTCAAAGAAGTGAGCTCTCTCAGAGAGCAAATGGAGGCTGACTTCTACAGCGACACTGACAGCGACCCGCGAGCCCACAAGAGTACTAGTACTGCCAAAACAAGTTCGGCTTGTGCCACCGAAGAATTCATCGTTCTAGGAGGCGTCCTGACAAACCTGGGAAAGTACATGGATGCTCAAGAGTACTACGAGAAGGCATACAAGTCTTATCATCACAAGAACCAGAATCACTGCAACGTTACCAATCCATCAAAGCATTTTGTGTCTGATCTGGTGTTATCACAACAAGCCTGTGAAAACGCGTGTGCAACGTCCGACGGAAAATCCGTTTTGGACTCGTCAGTTCTCAGTCCCCAACCAAGCAGCCACAGCAACAACAGTAACAACAGCAGCAGGAGCCATGCTCTCTTCAACTTGGCTCATTTGAATATGAAATCTGGAAAACATGCAGAAGCACGGGATCTGTACAGCAAAGCGCTAGAAGAGCACTACAACGTCGATGGCAATAAGCAAACATCCTTTGCTGCGGATGTTTGGGTCCAATTGGGTCGGATTGCTGCCAAGAACAAGCGCCACAGCGAGGCACTCTGCTATTTCGAAAAGGCTCTGGAAATCAAAATGGAAGTATATGGTGAAGAAGAGAATGAAGACCTGGTCACGACGCTAGAATGTCTAGGCCACATTACCTACAATCTACAGCACTACTGTGATTCACTCAACTACTACAAGCAAAGCCTCAAAATGTTCTATGCCATTCATGGATCACCTGGTCATCGCAGAAGTCGAAAAGTTCTCAAGGCTATGATTACCAAACTGGACTGGTTGGGTAAGCTATGTTCCATCAACGGGGTGTACGATGCCTCACAAGCATTCTACGAAGAAGCCCTCTTGCTCAAGGGGGAAATGTATGGACAATCCGCGCAGAACGCAGATATATGTCACAGTCTAGGTGCTCTTGGCACACTCCATCGAGTCCTAGGAGACTACGAAAATGCCAAAAAGTACCTCACAGACGAACTGCAAATGCAGCGTTCCATCTACGGACATGACGCAAAAACCAAAGAGATTGCTCTGGTATTGCACAATCTGGGGAATCTTCATTGCAATCTCAATCAATTCTCCGAAGCTGACAGCTACTACAAACAGGCATTGGAAATGAAAGAGCACTGCTTCGGATCCAGCAAGCACTTGAGCTTGTCTGCCACGCTCCATTCACTTGGGATCCTGTCGAGCGAACTTGGAAAGTACAACGATGCCGAACAATACTTTCTTCGTGCGCTCAATATTAAAAGGCACAATTACACACATGGGCATGCAACGATTGCCAACACCATCAACAGGTAAGTAGTGGGAGGCCCCAACCTGCTGAAGGCGACCGAACAACACACTTGTGGTGAGCACGATCTCAAATACACTCTGTGTCAACTTGCATCATCGCTCTTTCTTCTCCATATCGCCTCAGCCTGGGGAATTTAGCTCGTAACAGGGGACGATATACCGTTGCAAGAGACTACTATGATCAAGCCATCGCCATGGATAGGCAAGTGGCGGGAGACAAGGTGATTCTCAATGAAAACCATGCCAAAACAATACTCAACAGAGGCAACATGGCCATGAAACTGGGACGATGGAAGGAGGCCAAAGAATGGCTGGAGTATGCTCTTGAGATGTTCTACAAAATATATGGTGAAGAAGCTAAAACTCTGGACATTGCAACTGCCTTGTGCAGTCTGGCCAACCTCTTGAGATGTCAGAAAGACTACGACGAGTCCTACAAATATTACCAACAGGCGTTGCGAATGCAGTACGAGCTGTTTGGCAAAGACGCCTGCAACGCGAATATCGCGGAAACCCTCCACAACCTGGGCATCCTCCAACGTGACCGCAAACGGTATGATAGTGCAAAAACCTATCATGAAGAGGCACTACAACTCATGGTCGGAACCATGGGTAAGGAGTCCACTAACCACCCTCTTGTACAGAAAGTTGCAATGGAATTGATCAAGATTGAGCAAACTTGTGCTATGGAACACGCAATACTAGCACAAGAAGAGGGTGACAGGGGAAAGTGTTGGATACCGATGCCCATTGTTGGTGGCAGCAAGAACAGCAGAAGGAATTTTGACGAGTACAATTTTGGCAACTACAGGTAGCAGGTAGGTGGATGCATTTCTTTAGAGGTTTGAGCCGTGTCTCTTCTCGACGGCACCGAGACTGCAACAGCGATGGTTCCTTTTGCCAAGAAAAGCGGGCGATGCGATGCGATGCGATGCAATGCAATGCAGCAGGGGGGTGAAGGTGCAAAAGATGCTTAACGCATGCTTGAACGTTGTCTGCTTCAGCAGGGTATTGGGTGTTGGAAGCTTCTATCGAGCTAGTGATAAGACTGCCAAGACAAGTTCCCTGTTTGTAATAGCTTAGAATAACGGGCTTCACAAAAGATAGATGGGTTAGGTAAAACTCCACGCTACTATACCGCTGCAGCGCTATAGCAGGAAGGTTTCGGCGGTTGCTGATTGAATCATTCGTCAAAGAAGTGCCATTGGGTTGAGGTTTTACTGGAGGGCAAGAAAGGAAGGCACTTGCTTGAAGTAAGGGTTGCGTCTTTCTCGTTCGTTGGAGCAACGTCAAAATGTATGCACACATGCAAGCTCAGGAAAGTTTGCAGCACTACCCAGAGTACGCTCAAGGAATGAAATCCCTCCCCGCACCCTGACCCGTTCGTTCTGTTGCAAGAGCAGTGTCCAGAAACCACAAAGGGTCGTCTTGTCCTAAAATACGCTTTACACTAATCTAATCTAATCTTCTTCTCAATTCGGCAAGATCACTAGCCCACGTTCATTGTTCTGCTGGTGTAGGAATCCCATATCCGTTTGTTTGAAACCCTCCCTTGCTTTGACGGACCTCAATCTGTCGCCTTTTTTTGAGTCAAATCAAGTGTATATTGTTTGTGTATGTGTGTGTGGAAGGAAACCATTTTAACAGTGGAAGCAGCCCCGCCTTGATGATAGTCTTCGTTCCTCGACATCGGGCTCTCTCACTTCTGTTTCTTGCGAGGGATCCCTCCCTTTGTTCATTTTCTTGTGAAGCTGGTAGCATAAAGCTGATAATCCCTCTGTCAACATTTTGCATTGATCAGCAGTAGCCGCGGTGATATCCAATGTTCGTTGCTTAAAGATGAGCGCAAAGGACTTGTGCGCATCGGCAATATGACATTTTTCCCTCAACGTTGTGGTGCCCGTAAATCCTGGGTTGGTGGGATCCGGCGACGAAGCCATGCGGACCTCCATGCATTGTTTTAGTTGTAGCTGTTTGGGACCTGATTTCGATGATCCAGTGCTACCAAGGGAGGAAGAAGAACCCTGTCCAAGTGCTGGATACCAATTCAGGGTATCTTCCCCCTCCAATCGAAGAATGTATTCCTTGGATTTCTTTTGGAACCTCGAACGACTGTGCTTGATGACGGTGACACCCTTTCTGAGGCGAGTGACAAAGCAACGAACGAGAAAGGCATCCGCACTAATGCATCCAAGCGCTGGCTTGAAGGTTGGCAGCTGCAAGGGTGGATTTTGCGACTTGGTGCAAGTTGTCATAGTGGCAGTGGAAAGGGACAATATCGAATGGGTGTCATCGTCACTGTCATAGGAACTGTAGCTGTCACGGACTATGCTGACAGGGTTGCTACCAGTATACCTCTTGAGAAGATGCCTTGGTTTAGCAGATCCAGAGGATAGGGAGGAAACCGCAGTGTTGGAGTTCTTAGAGGAACTGATTGGTTTACTGTAAGTACTGGATACGGAGGAAGCCGCAGTTTTGGAGGTCTTGGGGGCACTGAGTGGCTTACTGTACGTACTGATGGACGCGATGGATTGTGGGGACTTCGATGACGACTCTAGCATCTTGCTCCTCAGGTTGTTTTCGAGGATCACACGTTGAGCCAATATCTCACGCTGCATGGCAATGATCGTGTCGGCTTCGGATCTGGACGTAGTAGACCTGGAGCCACTATATGCCGTAGAGGTTGTGGTGATGGTGGTGGTGTGATTCGTCATGATACAGAGTCTTGGGTAGCAACAGAACTAGTTTGAAAAATGCAAGTGATAAGGATCAGCAAGGGCAACTAAGGGTAGCTCATTAAATTGAATAAAATTAAAATGAGACTCTCCTTCTGTCGCAATATCGATGAGAACGATCCTCACCCCTCCAACAACTCCGTGCTTTTTGGCTGTGCTGTTCCGATAACAGAGCAGACTAACGTCAGGCGGAGCTGGCCTAAAGCGTCTTGTTGTTGTTGCCACACCAACCAATTGGGTACAGGGACAGAGCGTAGCAACCGAGCAGCATCCAGACTCCGATCGTGTGTTGATCCGGATCCTTGCCAACTTTTAATTCACCTCGGGTTTTAATAAATTCGGAGATGAGTTCTGCTGTGTGAAAGGGCCCGGGAAGCTCTCGCTCGGAGTCGACGGTACGACGGTGCCCGCTTCAAAGTTTACACCGTCGCTAAATTCGGTGAAAAAGTGAGGAGAGCAACGACAAAACACACTCTCACTCGGCCTTCCCGACATTCAGTCAGGCGAACACGAATAACCCAGCCGATTGGTCAATAGATCATCCATCCGATGTCAAGTCGGTGGCAGCATTCAAGTTACACGTATCATGATTGTCGCCCCCCGGTTCCAACCTCATCTCAAAGCCCAACACGGTCTCCTGCGAATCGAGTTGAGCCTTTGATGATCTACAGTAATTCCTTACCCCGTTTCCAACACTGTACGGGATTGGTACCGCAGCTTCCGGTACCGGTATCAGAAATCAGCTTTCCTTTTGTAATGCAGTTTATTTTTATTAGTCTTATGCAATGCGTTCTATAGTAGCTATGCGGGTGTCTTTTCCTTTGCGTGATATGAAACAAGGTACGATCTTTTTGAGTGTCTTGTACCTTTCAATAATTTCTGTTGGTGCAGTGCTGTTTGGGCTCCGCCCGTTCCTCTTCCTCGGGTTGGGTGGGTGTTAGTGTACAAATTGCATACATGTACTGTGGTATAGGTAGAGTGGCACAGGGTTGGTAGCGTGGTATAAACAAGGGTACGCTACCACCTATGGTCTCTGTCTGTCTTCTTGTAGCATTAGATCCACGATCAGTGAGCGTGGTAGACAATGTTTCCAAAGTTGCCAAACCACTCTGTCTTGTAGAAGGCTTCAATAGCCGATATATCCCAGCTCTCTTCGTGCTTGTAGATCAGGTTGTCTTCGTCCAGGTAGTATGTGGTCTTACCCACAACTTCGGGCATCTTGGGTCGAAATGGCAGACGAAGCACTCCGTTCATCTTCCATCGAGCCACAATCACATTCCCTTCGACTTGGAGATCTACGAGTTCGGCGGTACTCTTCTTGCGATCAAAGAGCTGCGATGCAGAACCACAAAACTTTCGCAGTCCTTTAATAGGCATGTCAGGGTCAGGGCCATCAAAGAAACAGTCGTCCCTGTAAATGGACGAATTCATCTTGCCCGTCACGTAGTAGCCCTTCATGGTTTTCTCTTTCCAATCTCCACGAATGACACTGGCAACATCTTCCATGGTGAGACCCTTTTGCTTGATTGGTGCATCTTCGACGCCTCTGCAGCCCATGGTCGGACCCACAATATCTAGATGCTTGTGGATCAGGGTAGTTCGTGCCACCGTCTCGACTGCATCCACACAATCCAACATTCGGCGACGCATCCACGGGCACTTCAAGGCGAGTGCATCGCTATACCATTCTTCCAGCTTGACAAGACACCATACCTCTAATGGGGACAAGGACGACACTGGTGCCAACGAGTCATCAACAAAGGATGACATGGTCGCTGATGATTCCATAATACTACTAACCATGGTCAACCTAGTCGGACTGAACCCTCTGGGCACAGCGGCTTTGGGGGTTGCTGTGCTATCCAAAGGATTGGTGGCTGCTCGCAGGATCCCACTGGTTTGGGTAAAACCGGCCTCGGCCATGGCAACGAGGAATACGAGCAAAGAGCAGGAGAGCAGCGAAAAAGAAACCATGATACCTGGTACCTTGTTTTGTGTGAACTTGAAAGCTCAAACAAAGCTACTAGCTAGCTAGCAAGCATCAAACATCAAACAACATCAAGCTCTTTGGCACCCGATTGCCTTTTGTAACTCAAATGAATCGAATCATCACTTTAGTTGGAAAAAGAAGGCATTTCAGAGAGCGATTCAGCCAGGGAAGAACCAAAATGTGAACAGCGAAAAACGCATGTTGATGCAAGTACCCCGCGGTCATCGGAGGCAATTGAGGAGACGCACACCATGTTCTATAGAATGCTGCTGATATCTGGCACATTGCCCCACGGTTCCTTGAAGATTCGACATGACATAAATCTGGCTCGTAGAGAAGAAAGTTTCGAAGCAAACCTTCAAATAATTCTTAATTCATCTATGTTCAATGCTGCTTCTTCCATTTCTCTTTGAGCCGAAGTTTGAAGCCGGAGAAGGTGCTTTGGTCTTTTTGGGTCATTCAAGACTTTGTTTGTGACTCTCATCACAGCACTCTGACATCTGACACTCTGACAGAGCTCTGACGGGCATCTGGCAGCAGGACTCCTGGCTGGCATGATTGGCCACCAAGAGCCCGCAGCTTCAGGAACGATCAATGGAACAGGGGAACAGGTATCAGAATCTTTCATTCAAGAGTCAAGGTATCTCAGGAACTTGGTATCATGCCTTACTCATCAATAGCTTTCAGGTTCAGCTGTGATATTATGTCAAGCCTGCTCTAACAAGCAGCCTGCACTTTTCTCTTCTCGTTGCTTGGTTGGCCTTCTTCGTATACTGCCCTCAATCCTCCCTATTTCCTTCCAAGACAGGGCTTCTTGACAATGAGCCACATTGCGCCTCATTGCTTCAAGGGAAGTCGCTCATCACATCCAGTTGCCTTCTCGCCTACCGGTACTCTACTAGCAACTTGCTTTGAACGAAGCTGGCTGGGTCTTGTGGGAGTGACAGAAGGGGCTGCCTTCTACTGGTACCAGTAGCGGTGCCTAGTCCGCCCGAACCCCGAACACACTGAATAATATGATTGCACCAGTTCTTGCTTTGCCCTCCGTACCGGTAGGACTCAAGACTCGGGACATTCCCCGCCTTGCTTAGCAAGCTGGCTGCAGGATCATGGAGTGACGCCAAGAAGCAACAGGCAAATCGAAGTTTGCTTCTTGCCAGCCAAACACCAAACACAGCCAAGTCTTGTACTCAAGAACGCGCTTGCACCATCAATACAAAGAACACCAAGAAAGATGATAGGGAGCAGCTTGACGAGGCCTACTAGCTAGGCTGCTTGGCTGCTTGACTGCTTGACTGCTGCGATGCCCATGAACGTTTTGTACCTCACCTAAAAGAGCTCCTAAAAGACATCACACACTTCGAAACAAGCACAATCAACACAACAAATCACTACCGGTACCGGTACCAGTGCCGCTGCAGTATCAAACACCACAAACAGCCCCCGTCAGTCGTGCAGTTATTTCAAATAGTCTGAAACGGGAATCCGACTCTAAATCCGTGCCAAGAATGGCGCCTACCCTAATTCCTCAACTCGCTAGACTGGTAGTACCAGTAGTTAGACTAGACTAGAGTGATCTGGGTATTAAGACCGACCGGATCCCGCAATATTATCTTCAGGGCTGTATATCGAATATAGTACATGTAAAGAGGGGAATCGATAGAACACATGTAGTTGAGTATGCCATAAATCTCGCAGCCTCATAGTGTACTTATTGGTGGAGTTACCGGCGGTTGAAGATATCCACCCAACTGACACGAATTCTTTTTCACTGCACATTAAGACCGAATGACGTCAGTCGTGCTCTAGTACTGAATCTACGTAGGATCCTACGTACGCACCTCTATCGAGTGAAACTCTATCGAGTGAAACTCCGTGCCGCACCTCTATCGAGTGTTGGTATCTATCGAGTGTATCTTTCGCACCTCTATCGATCGTCGCTCCCGTAGAGGTGCTTCGCTTCCGTAGAGGTGCTTCGCACATGCATAAAGCACCTCTATCGACACTCCTTTTATCCTTCGTCTACCGACACTCGAAGCACCTCTATCGACACTCCTTCTTTTATCGTTCGTCTACCGACACTCGTTCCTCTCAAGATGGCCGTTTCCGACAGCACTGACGAAGGCATTGACGAGACGATGACATTGGACTGTAGAGACGATGCATGACGAGAGGTTTACGAGAGAACGAGAGATTACGATCATGATAGGGACTTCTAGACTCAAGTACGTTGACCATTACAAGCGGCTAACGTTACGGACTTCTTCAAGCAGAAAGGGAGACGCGGCAGGCCCAAGAGATCGACTCTTGCGAGTGAGACCGTTCCTGTTAAGAAGAGAGGTGTTGGCCGTCCCAAAGGGATCAACCAAATTCAAATCCACCGCGGAGAAGGAGAAGAAGCAACAAATAAGAAAGCAAGAAACAATCGGTAAAGAAGGCTCCTCCTGTTTGCTGCCGCAAAGGTTGATGCGCCAAAGAGGAAGCGCATGAATTGGTCTGGACCCAAGAACAAGCCGCAGTTTGACTCTGCCAAGAAGGAGTGGCTCAACAGGAGTGGAAGGGCTCTGGATTCCAATGGAGAGCCAACCGTCTCTATGGCTCAATTCGCCAAGATAGTTGGTATTCCCTACAATACGTTCAAGGCTCATGTCTGTAAAGACGAATCCAAAAGACGAACAATTACCAATGGCCAAGGAACACGCCCCGTGATATCGAAAAAGGATCAAGTGTTTGTTTGCCACAGTTGCAGCCAGGATGGATAGAGGCAATGATGGAGCCTCCGCTAGAGAGTGCCTAGACATGATCCAAGACGTTGCTCCCAACCTCACTCGCAAGCAGGCTTCGGAGCATTTCCACCGTACTTTATTGGAGTCTTATCCTAGCATCATCAAGCCAAAGACGGTTGTAGCTCAAGCCTCGACTACAAAAAGAACCAATATTACAATGTGCAGCAACAGTTCAGTTGGCACAAGACCGTTGGATGGTGCTTTCGAAGGAACTTCGGTAGAGGAACCAAGGCCGCTCGCTATGTCCGGGAAATCCTTTGGTGAGGTAATGGATTCATTCATCACCGGAGGAGACGAAACATTGCTTCATGGCTTGTCCCTGAGGCTCCTATACCAAACATCGTTGGTGTTTTGGCCGGAACAAGCATGAGAAACGGTACCAGTGATAGTGAGATTCCTCCATAATCACAATGTACCGTACCGGAAGCGCTGCTGGTGAAACTGGACCTACAGTATTCCTTCTCAAAGGGAAGAAAAGACAAATCGGATACACCGACAAGTTTCTACAAGAGCATGGAGCCAAGGTTGGTTCCACCGTGGTCATGACACCAAATGCGTTCATGACTACGGAAGCTTGGGAACAAATGTCAATTCATGTTTGCCAGGGTCTACGGCAAATCGATCCGATTGTGGAAGGCAACCCACAGTGGTACATCCTGGAAATTTTTGATGGCTTTGGCGCTCACCTGGCTTCTTTTCCTGCTTTGCGCACCAGATTTGAATACAAGATATTGTCGCTTAAGGAGGAGGGTGATTCTTCTCATGTCAACCAAGCCTACGATCGACTTGTTGCCAAAGCAGACAAGGCGGCAAAGAATGAGTGTCTGTCTCATTTGCGTAGAACGGTGTTTGATAATCGTGGAGTGTTGGATCAGTGGAGTATGGTCCATGTTGGTCTTTATGCTATTCGCGAGACAAGTGCTTCGGCTTGGCATCGTTCCTTTGCTGCGGTCAATTTGGATCCACTCTCGAGAGTTCCCTTTTCAGAGTGGTGTGAAAAGATCGCTGACTTCATGATGGGCGGTGACTCCTTCAAAACCGAGGAAGCACTGGATAAGTATTCGCTTTTGCCATCGTTTTGGCACGGAATGACACCAGAAGAAAAGAAGTCAGCATTGGCCGTCTACAAGTTGCACGATTGTTGGTCAGTCGAATGCATCACTGCCATTATGGAGCAGACATTCGTCCCTGCCAGTCAGTTGCAGAATTTGCGGGTCTGTATTGAAATGGCAGTGGAAGATCCTTCGCAGCTCGATAGGATGCTTCCCTCCAAAGAGGCAGTAGCCTTAGCGGCTGTTGATCCAGAAGTTGCATCGGCTGAAGCCAAGCGGAAGACGGCTAATGATGGGCTGGACATGTTCCTGCTCAAGCCGAAAGCAAAGAAGGGTCTTGAGCTGTTCGAGCACATGTGCGAGAAGCGTACAATGTTTGATGCCAAGATGTCACCGTCAAAGCATCTGGATGTGTCCATGTCGGAGCAGAATCAAAAGAAGCTGTCCGGAGCAGTCGAGACGGTGGCGGCCAAGAGAAAGATTATTCATAAGAATGTGGTGGCAACTAACAAGATGAAAGCTGCCAGGAGGAGACTGGATGGGAGTGGCAAGGTTAAGAATCACGCTGCCTTGGTCAATGAAGAAAAGGCCTTGCTGACATTGAAAAACAAGCAGATACTCAACGATAGTTTGGCTCAGATCGACGAGCTACACAAGAAGCAAGAAGTGGAAAAGAAACGCCAAGCAACAGAAAGCCTCAACAGCTTCGCTCCAAAGGCAAAGGAGAAGCTCGGGCGAAAACAGGTTGTTGCTTCCCTGACTAAGCCCGAGATCGTTTCCCTCTTGACAGTCTACTTTGGGTCCAAAGCGGACACCAAATTGGCCAAGGGAAGCTTGGTAATTGAATTGGAGAACAGGATTGAGTCCAAGCCTGATGTGCTACAGGTACAGTTGAAGCCTAAAGCAGCTCCAGTAGCTGCTTTGGCTACTGGAATGCCAGCCCTAGTTTCAGCCAGGTCTTAAGCTATATAGCCATAATAATAATATAGTCTTAAGGTATCAGCCTAGAATATTACAATAGTCTTAATCTCCTGCGGGTCTTAATGGGCAGATCACTCTAGCTATATTATTTAGTTGGGTTTGCCAAAGGACAGCACCAACCCTGATGAAGAATCATTTTCTAGATGCACACTGCCCCTCTCAATTGACGACAAAAAAGAAAGTTTCTATCGCAAGTGCTTGCGAACCCTTTTAGTAGCATAATTACTCAAAACATAAAAGGTCTTTGTACCTGGTACAGACATTATCCAATTTACAGACAATCTACGTACGTGGGTGTACTGCAAGAGTTCCACACCTCGTGCTTAGCTCGTAGTCTCGTAGTACATGTACACTGTAGCCACGTAGAAATCGTTCCATCGCTGCAAGGCTGCTTCCAATGCTGTGTACAGCTGTACTGCATACCACACAGTGCTACTCATTGGAATACAGTAAACGATGGCAAAACTAAAGCACAGGAAGCAGAAGCTAGCTAGTGAAGCGGTGATAAGCTCGGTGATATTGGGTTCTCAAAAGGAGATCTTAAGAGGTTGTCCCTGGCTTATCTCCTTTCTGTCGAGTTAAGCTCCAGTAGACAGTAGACAGCAAAAATCGATCGATAGCACATTTTGTCCAGTGAAAACACAGGCTCTCAAGCTGAACAGTGCACAGCCCGTAGCAGAGTTACGGTACCGCTCGGTCCATCACGAAGAAAGAGGATGTATTCCTGGATTCCTGGGTGCCTTGGGTCTTAGGCGACTTCTTGGGCACGCATTAGGGTCACCTTCTCAATTGCCAAGGCCAAAATCATGGCACTTCGTTCTTGGTGGTTCCTGTGCAGTCTACGCGAGCTGTACATCGTACATACATTTAGTAGTCTAGATGCGGAGGTTGCTGGTACTTCAGAGGTTCCCATGACATTCAATTTTCTGTCTTTAACGAAACCGTGGGGTCATCTCACATCTCACACAAAAGAGGAACATGCGAGAACACATGCACCCGTGGCAGGGTTCAGGCCATTCATTCGTGAAGCAAGCTTTGTAGTCGCCTTGGACATGTTTTAGCGTGTTACAGCCAGTTCACAATAGAATTGTCTACCTTCACTGATGTAAGGTTTGGCACACTTTCAATCTTATTTTTAGCTGTTGTTCTTTAACTAAATAGGACCGCTCGATACCCTTTTTTGTTAAATCGGCGGTACTGCTCGTGAATAGCACAAGGTACCTTGGTGGGTCTTTGCTGGTTGCCTACACTTATATTGATGGTCGAGTCCCTTTACGGTACCATGGAAGCAGGCGGGAACAGACACGTGATTCTTCTCTGAATGTCTTGCGTCTGTCCAGTGTTTGCTTTGCTATGTCTTGAACCGAATAGAAGCATTTTGCTTAGTCAGCAGCGACATAGTTGTTAACTCACTTTTTGGGGCAATAAACTTTGAAAACTCCTTTCTCCAGTTATAATTCGGAGTTTTGTTCCAGTGGTCAGATCAGAGGCAGAACAGAAGTAAGCCCCAATAGGTCGCAGTACCCTGGCCTACGTACATTGAACACAATGTCATTGTCACAATATTATCCTGGCATTGCGAGTTGCTGGAAGGGCTGCACTTAGGCCATTGTATGAGGGCCTTTCCCCTGATCATGAAGATGACCGTATGGAACATTAGTAGTGCAGAATGTTAACGGTAGTGGGCGTTTTGAGCCGGCTGTGTATCTGAGCTGTGTAAGTTGTGTTGTTTGTTTCATAGTTTAGTGGTGGCAACCAGTTAATGCGAGTGATCGCAGTAGAGTTTTTGACGTTTTGACTATTATGGTGACTATCGGGAACCTTCTGACTATCGTTCTAGCTAGTGTAGTGTTCGGTGTCTGGTACTCGTGGTCTGTAGGCTTGGGTCTGCAGGGTCGGCTTATACAGAATTATGGTGTTCCCTGCCTTGGTGGTGAAAGTCAGGACCAATGTGGAAGGCCTTCTTGTGTAAAAGTAGTACCTAATCGTACGTAAGACTATGAGCAGAGAGGTTATTTAAGAGTCTTCGGTACTGTTGTTTGATAGTGCTTCTCGAGGGAAGGACTGGCTACCGCTGGCCGAAAGTAGAAAGTAATACTCCAGCAGCGGAAAGCCATTAGACGAGTAGCAGCATCACAGCGACCGAGGAGGAAGAAGGTACACTTCTATCCTCTCTACAGTAGATTCCCAGCATTAGACTACCACTCTAGCTAGCTACCAGCAGTAGCTAGCTAACACCTGTCTTGTGTGGTGTTCTCTCAGTTATTGTTTGTTTTACATACTGCTACCCTTGCTAGTTGCTAGCTGGCTTCTGCCATTATCTGTGAACCCCATACTATTACCACCTCTCCCTCCCACATCACATCACACGATGCCTCGCTGTATACTGTTAGTAGCAGGTGCTGACCATGATGTAACCAATCTGTTGACCGATGATTCGATGAGCGAGTTCATGACCATGTCTCGCGTTAGTCTGACTCGAGACTCTGATGAAGAGGACGAGCGACCGCCACAGCACACTACCCACCCCGAGTACGATTCTACGATCACCTTTCACGAGATCCTTCGTCAACATGAACAATATCAACAACAAGCACTGCACGAACACCAACAACCACACGAACAACATGACTGGAGCACAGCATTATACCCCAATCTGAGTGATCCTTGTAACAAGCGAATGATTGCTGATCTGCCTCCCCTCAAATGGGGAGCCGTTCCTCTAGTACGACAAATAGGCGACTCGGCGGTCAGTCAGGGACTATCCGATAAGTTTGCCGAGTTCTACGATCTACAAGAACGAGACCTGGAACGACTGGAACAACACCATCAGCTACAACAACGCCTGCAATTCCAAGACCAACCGGCAGACATGACCTCGTTGCCACAACGAGCTTTCTCTGCTCCCCTGCACACACCATCCGCAGGAGGAATGGCTCCGCTATGCGACCCTTCTTCTGCTTCACTCATGCCACCGGCGTTTCAATCGTCACAAAGCACTGCATACCCATTATCTGGCAGCAATCGATACGGAGATAACGGCGATGGAACTGGTGCCCTCGCAAGTCCACATCGCCGACACTCTCCACCTAGAACCGCACTGCCGCCCGTGCGACGACAACAACGCCATTCCACAACTGCCGTACCGGGCGACATTGAATCGAGCAGCTCGGGGCTCAGACCCCGGGTCAATTACAAGGCCATTTATAACCGACGCTTTAGTTCGGCGTCGTCAGCGGCTACCCCTCCCAATCTAGAAGCATCCTTGTCAGGATTCAGCTGTGGAGGAGACAGTGATGATATGGGCGCGGGTGGAAGTTGTGGTAGTGGAGACCATCATCATCAAGACTTGGCGGCCTGCATGGAAGAATCTACCACTACTTCCACGACTATGATTGGAAGCAGTAGACGATCCTTCTTGGACCACGAGTCCAGCCATCAGCCACTGCATCACCACTACCACCACCATCCAGTTATGGAAGAAGAGGAAGAAGAACCAGTGCCTCAAGAAGACCACTCCGAGTCAGAATCGGCTCCTGCGAGAACCATGGAGATTGCACCCAACGTGCATGTGCAAGTACGATCTAGCCAAGAGACCTACAAGGCCGTGCAGTCAGGAGACTACACGGTTGCCACATGCTTTGCATGTTGTGCTACCATTGTTTGTGTCAATGATGCTGCATACGTACTATGCCCGGACTGCCAAGTAGTATCCCCACTGGGATTCGGAGCTCCCACGGCGGATGCATCCAAAAAGGATGATCCATACGGCATTGGCACTGGTCTCAAGCGAGAATGGGTCGATGAACATGTCCGATGAGGAGAGGAAGCTAAACGAAAGCAACCCAAAAAGCTTGCTAGCTAGCTACTACCATACTAGAGCAAGGCACCAAAGTATTTTGCCGCGTCATTGTACTGATATGCAGAAAACATACAGTACGCTTCTAATAATAAAAATAATAGAGGAGCTCTGTTTACTACTACTGAACAACATAAAACATGAATACTTGCTTGCTTGCGGTGATTGACTCGATAGCTACAGATGCCATGACAAGCAGCCTACCATGCTGATACATGTAGCCGCACCAAACAACCTAGCTAGAAAAACACATGATGAAAGTCGTGCTGCTGATACAGGCATTAAAGAGGCTACAAAACCAAGAACCTGGCTCCACAATCCTTCGGTCCAAGTCAGCTCGCCGTTTCAGGGGCCTTCCCAACGGTGACTAGTAGGAGTTTGACTAGGACAGCCTCGGCGACTTCGCCTTTTGGAAAGCTCTTTCACCTTCCTCAGGATCAGCCAAAAGCTGCCGTCTAGCTAGCCAGCCACCAGAAACTGGCTAGCTAGCTAGCTACCACCAGAAGGCTTCATCTCGATCGACTCAGACTCGACTCGACTCATTAAAAGACGCAATTGCCTCTGAGATCACTGGACAAGGATCAGCCAATCCGAACAGATCTGGCTCAGTTGCCACGCATTCATCAAAGAGAACAACCCGCGTGAGAAAAATGCCAGTTTGGAAGCCAGCTAGTCTAGATAACCAGACACTGAGTGCTTTGACAGGTTGGTGTGTGCTACACGCTACACTACTCTACTAGTAGACTAGTACTCATTCAGCAGACTTGATACCTACTAGTAGAAAGCACGTTCAAAAACATCGGCACTACCGGAACTCGTAATGGCGACCTACGGTACGGTACTGTACTGTAATACATGTAGCTTCCGAATAACAGTTCTATGGAACTTTCCATCGGTTGCTTTCTTCGCCGGTACACTCGTACTCCCTCGCCGAGCGCCGAGCCTACTTTCCAAGCTGGAAGTAAATGCAGCATTCAAACACAAAGGTGCTATTCATTCTGCTGCCTCTAGCTAGCTAGCTAGCTAGCTGGCCTCGCTAGTGTAAATTTGATGAATGAAGGCCTCGGTCAGTGGAACACTCGTCTTTGGCTATTGCATGTACCCGCAGTTAGGTGTCGGATGAGATCGGGCGAATAGAAACAGGAGGTTGGGTACCGGTAGGGGGTGGTCTAACAAGGAAGCAACAGCTGAAGCAACCTTCCTTGGCAGAGCTCTTGGTAGCATCTCTTGTTCTTCGCCTCTGATATTCTGATACGAAGTCAAGCAAACAGCAACCAAGACCTCCTCCCCACCAGCCACCAAGCACCAAGCTCCTGCATTCCAGTGCCAGCCATCTTTCTAGTACGGTTCAATTGCCTGATTGCCAAACCTATTCCTTTATGATGCCAGTTAAAGGCACATCCAGCAACTGTCATTTGGCTGGCAACCTCTGTCTCCCACGATACTATCTGACTTTTCGGAGAGACAGGTCTACCGTAGCTAGCCGTTTGCTACACCGGTAGCTCGTCCAGTGTTCGTGCGGGTGGTGGGATGTGGGATGATCCACTCCTGAAGCGTCCCTTCAACAACGTAGCGGTACCAGGTAAGAACGGAACACCACCGACAGCAATCGGCTCAAGTACGAACAGCACGTGAGGTTGTAAAAGCGCAAACTTGAAAATCAAAAGTCGACCTGGCAGCTATTATTTATTCATGCAAGGCAGTCTTTCACTACCCTCAACTACAGGTCTTGAAAACCGTTTCGGTTGGTTTTGCCATGGTTGTGCCCCCCCGCCCTTTTGCCCGGTTGGTTGGCAAGAGTCCTTTCACAATGGTACATCCTCCTCACGTCGTTCGCCCATTACTGTTTCTCCTCACTAATAACGAGCGGTGGAGCTTCCGTCATTGGTTTCTTCTTCTTGTCACTCGCAAAGACGTCCTCTGTCTTGTTGCTGCTTACTGGTGTAGTAGGCACTTTCATTTGTTTCTTTGGTGTGTTTTCGTTGTCCTTGTCATTGTCTGTCATTTCGGTTTTGGCATCCCTGCTGCCACTCTTCATCATTCTCCTCGCGAATACAATAGGGAACACGAGCATTCTCAATGGCAACAAGAGAATGGCCAGAACAGTCCGAAGGATAAACCAGCGTAACAAAAATGCCATGAAGATGAGCAAACCGTACATGACCTGTGTTAGAAACTCGGTAGGATTCCCACATGCCTCTTCGACGGCCTGCGTCATGCGTGTGTGATGATTGATCAAAAGCTCTCTTGCCTTTTTGTTGTGTAACTGTTGTCGCGCCATGGGACATGCCTCTTGGACAAAAATTTGGCGTGTCTTGGAAAATGCCGTTTCGGCGACTTGTTGATGCAATTCGATCAATCGTTGGGTGGCCTTTTCGAGTGGTCGTAGCATGGGTCGCAATACGGGCATGGCCACTTGTTTGACTTTTTGATATTCGCTAGTGACCATATCTACTTTGGCTTGTACTTTGTACTTTTCGTAGAGTGGGGTGAAGAATAGCTCGAGTTCCTTTTCGGCCGATTGGCAAAAGTATTTGACTTCGTCCTTGAACAACGACCACGACGTTTTGTGCTCCAATGACGCAATTTTCTGTTCCAACCAGAGAACGAAACAGAAAGAACGAAAACAAAACGAATGAGTACAAAACAAACCACAAAAGGAATGTGAACAGTGTGTCGTCAAGTCCATTTTCGTTTCGTGTATCATATCGTCTTACCTGCAAGGCTCGCTCATGGTCTTGTTGCAGTGACTGGTGCGCCTTTTGCGATTTGGAGAGTGCCTTGTCGCATGTATTAGCTGTTTTGGTGAGTGTTTCTATTTGACTGTTCAATTCTGTCTGAATCTTTTGGAGTGTGTGCTTGGCACCTTTTTCCGCGGCATCTAGTATTGCTTTGTGTTTTTGTTGCATGGATTGAATGGCTTGTTCATGTTCCTTCTGTGTGGTTTGGAGACTAGCCTGTGAGGATTGTCTTTCCAAGAGTCTCTCTCTGGTTTGTCCTTCCAACTGTTTTTGTATTTCTTGTGTTTCAGATTCATGTTCATTTTTTAGTTTTTGGATTTTGTCCAAATGCTGTGCTTCCAATTCTTGGAGAGTGGATTGATGAGCTTCTTCCAATAGCTGTACTTGAGTCTTGTGCTCTTCGTTCAGTCCTTCCATGGCGGCCAGAGTCTCATTAAGAGTCCCTTGAATGGTGTCCAGGTGAACCTCACTGTCGTGTTTGGCCAGTATCAATTTTTCGTTGCATCGTTCATCGGCAGTTTCAATGTCGTTCATTTGAATGTCCACTTTCTTGACCAAGTAGTCCACATCACTTCTGGCAGTTGCTCGGTGTTCTCGACAAATCGTAAGCGCTTCTTCGGCTGCTTCCTTTTGTTCACCCAAAATCACCACCGATTGCGCCAATTGTCGATCACACGCCGTCTTGTAACTCAACACTTCATTCGCTTTGCTTTCGGGATCGGCTGATGCGTCTTCAGTCTCCAACGACGCTGCCACTTGACGACCCCGTCGCTTGAAGAGTTTGCCCAAATCCAATCCATCACTACTAGTAGTAGTCACAAGCAACAGTAGCAAAAGCGACCACACTGATCTTCTTCGTCTCTTCACCGCTGCCAACAACACCATCTTTCTTGCTTCGCCCAACAAAACAAATCCAAAGTTTCAAAAAATGATTGTTTGCAGGCGTCTTGAAGTTCGTGTCATTGGATGTTGGTGATTTGGAGGCCCGCGCCAAAACAATCGAGTCATGGATACTTCAGGACTCAAATGATGACGTATGCAAAACATTCAATATTTTGTCCAAACCAATGACAATGACTGGCAGCTGCCAGCTACCGTAGCTCTACGCACTCAGTACCGGTACCGCGGTTGTACCAGTACGCTTCTATGTAGAAAGGCCTAAATGACCAAAACATTGTCCGAAAATTTATACGGCTCATTGTTCTCAGTGACTGTTCTCTACATCTTGTTCTTGGGACCTGGTGCGTTAATTGCATGAAGCTGTAGACTCTAAGTACCGGGGTACTACTTCGTCTATAGTGACTGTATTTACGCAAAGCTGCTCCTCATTTTCTTTTCACTCCACAGCACAAAAATATGGCGATGGGAGCCAAATTCCAAAAAGATTACTGAGTACATGTAATGGATTTAAAGCAACATTAAATTTTAATGAAAAAGTTTTTTAAGGTTGATTCACGACTCACGATTAAAGAAAAATGACGTTAGTGGATTTATCAAATTGCGAAAGAACGATTAAAGGGGAAGATTGGTTGGACTCCTTGCTTCCTGCAATAAGTACAGTAATATTATTAGTAGAAAAATCAATTAGCTGCGATTTAGGGGATATTTTTGGACGATTAAGTGACGAAATATGCCTTAAGGAACATAGCAAAGTGTCAATCTCGGCGTTCTTCTCTGGCCAGTCACAAAAGCCTCCCAATAGCTCTCCCAATTCCCAATCAACACCGTTCTTTACCCAGTGTCGCCGGTGCCACATACCACACACTATTCTATTCCACTTCCCACACCAACGCCAACACACAAAGCACTCAAGCTACTGTAACAGGACGTCGTTTTTTATCAATTAGTAGGTGTTACCATGAACTTTGCTGCCTCTGCAACGAGCACTACTATTGCTGGCACTGCAGGTACCTCTGATGCGAACGAATTGAGTGAATTTGAGTTGGAGTGGGCGTGGGAAATCAAGGAAGCGATCGACCGAGACGAGGAGTTGAATCCCATTTCCGACTATGAAGTGGCCCAATTGGCTATTGTGACGTTGGGCCAACAGGAAGACCTTTACAGTATTCGAGAACGAGTGTTGGCCTTACAGTGTCTACGACAAGAACACAAGTTGACGGAGACACCTCAAGAAGGCGTCGAATTGATGCGACAATTGACCTGTCAACAACAACCCGGTCACATTCTGGCGTTTGATCTGGCTCAGAATCAGTCTCACTATATTGGCGTCTTTGACTTTGCCCGAAACAAGCCTTCTGCAGTACAGACCGACAAAGACTGGCGGGTCTACTTGGGCGGATACTACTATCTCTTGAATGCGGCCAATTCCAACTTGACTACCATTCGAAACGGATTCACGTCTATTGTGGAATGCGACGGAATGGGATATCACTCCTTCAGTCACTCCATGCAACAACGATGGGCCACGGAACTGGGAATGCACTTTCCGATTGAAACCAAAGAATCCAAATGGTTCCATACTCCCACGGCCGCCAATATCATGTGTTCCTTTGTCAAGCCGTGGATGAGCTCTCGCAAGGCACGATGGGATCGCATACAGTTGGGATGCCAGTTGGACTCGTGGGAAGGACGCATCGATTCACTCATCAATTTACCGACGCCACAGGTTGCACAACAAAAGCTACTACACAATCTACACCTGGCACTCATGGAACGATATCACAATCAGGCCACCTTTCGCTTGCCCGACAAACCCATCGAAGAATACGACCACGAGAATGGAAACAGCAGTTCCATGATGATGGATGTGGAGCAAATAATAGAGGACTAGCTCGTAAAAACAACATCAACAACAACAACAACAACAACCAAATACAAAGTGACACTGCCAGTCCAAGTGGCGGCCATTCCGGTACAGAAATACAGAAGATATCAGCAACAACTCGTACCGGTATCACAGTCGGCACGGTTTCGCTCACTGTCAAATTAGGCGGCGTATCGCCGTATACACGGTACCATGTTCCGTAGCCATTGGATCGCTCGCGTCGTGGTTTTCTCCTCCGCTCGGTATTATAGAATCTTTGCATACATCTTCCACATGTCTACCGTATCAGTCAATCTACTCTTGCTGGAATGTACGATGCTTCGAAATGGACCAACATTGGATCGACTACCACACAGAACCATGGTGAACCAAAAGTAGTTTGCGAGATTTGCCCCTGTGGATAGGAATCGAACTTTTGTTGTTGGCTTGCCACAAACAACATGGTTCTGGTACTACATGCTAAAATATTAGGAACCAGGCAGCAACAACGAACTCTCAAAGCACCTGATACCTACAGCACAAAGTACCACCAGACACATACATGAGAATGGGCCCATTTTGTTTCGGGAACTTGGTAGGATCCGTTTCCCATAGGTAGAGTCAATCTGCATTGAAAGCAGTTGACCAGTGCTTGACGGCTCCCTTGTTGAATCCCTTTTCTTGCAATATGTTCTGGTTGGAATCGTTGGAGCCACCACTGATGATGCTTCAGAGTGGAAGCGGCGGAGTTGCTCCCATGAGACCCAAGCATGGTGCACTCTGAATGAGTGACCGTCAAGTGGTCGCAAAACACCAAGGGTTGCACGTAGGTCTCGTGTATTCGAATCGAATCTGCGACCAAAATCGAATCTTCAAATCTTCACCCAACGAATCGAATCAGAACTCGCATCTTTCGTCACGGAATTGAATCTCTGCAATGCCGGTTGCGCCAACCTAACAATCAACGCATGCTCCAGCTAGCTAGCTGGCTCTAGCTAGCTTCTCCATCAGCAAGCTGCGGCATTGGCTTCAGCACCGGACCGGTATGGATGATAGTACAACAGTCACTATTTGCTAAAATCGTATGACAATTTACCAGTACTAACTGATTCGATTCGCTGATGAGAGCCTTCGTTGTTGGATTGATGTTAGCGTCCGTTGGCTCCTGGACTTCACTCCTCAACCAAGATTCAATGGACTAATGGATAGATAGCGCAGATTCTAACCTTCTTGCTTCGTGCAGAGCGTGTGGATCAATCGTCATTTTAGGTTGGACCTGTCGGATTGGTTTCGAGGGCGGCGGGCGCCCTGTTTCGAGACCGTAGTCTACGTGTACTACCTGGTGCAATCGTTAGCTAATCAATGTTGAGTGTGCTGGGCAGGGTGGAACAGTGTTCAGAGACGTGATCAATTGAAACGACGGCCAATGTAATCAAGCAAACTGGTAGCGGTTAGTCCCGCTGGTCTTTATTCTTGCCTCCGATGACATTCCAAACCGCGCTAGTCTAGTAGTGAATGTCACACTACTCCCCTTAGGTTCTAGCTAGCTATTCAGAGTAGAGTGGCCATCACGACGAGACGAGAGCGATGCAGCTTGAGATGTTGAGTAACAGTTTGGTGTTTGGGCAACCATCAAAGTCGTTCTTGCCTGTTTGGTGGCCTCTTGCACCCCGCACGCACGCTCGGCCAAAACAGGCACGCCAAGTTTCTGTTGAAGTCACACCCTGAAAGGGCAAGTGTGGGTCAATCCTGAAATTCCTACCCTACCGTACCGTCGTCACCAGAATCGAATCGAATCTTCAATGGGCATTCTGGCACGGTTTCCAACTTTCCAACCAGCACCCGACACGAGAGAACCCCAGCAAGAAGGTGCTCGAAGTCCAATTGAGCAAGTCGTTCCAACAAAAATATCAAAGTTTCCGCCATGACTCAACCGAAAATTCAAAAGTCGACCATGATGAAGAATGCGACCAATACCAAACGAAGGATCCTCATTGTGAGTGATGTAGCAGTGACATTGAGTGGAGTTGCCACGGCGCTTGGAAATACCGAACGAATCCTGTCCAAGTGGGGTCATGAAGTTCTCTATGTGACACCCACCACTTTGGATCTCTGGACCATTCCACTGATCGGGGTTGACAATGGTTTCAAACTGGCATTCCCTTATCCTCATTCGAGCAAGATTGAGCGGGTCATTGATGAGTTCAACCCTGACTGTGTTCATGTCTCCACGGAAGCATCGTTGGGGAAATTTGTCAGAACCCTCTGCCTCAAGAAAGGATGGCGGTTCTCCACGGCATTCCACACGATGAGCGCCGAGTTCTTGGAGTGTACCATTGGAATACCTGCTTGGGTCTCATGGGAGCAGCTGCGTCAGTTCCACAGTGAATCTGCATCTGTAATGGCTCCCACTCAGTCTGTGAGGGGCATCTTGCAAGAAAAAGGATGGGACCATGGAACCCTCAAGCACTGGTCACGAGGTGTCAATGCAGAACTCTTCTACCCACGGGAAAAGGATCCTGTCAAGTTCCCGAAACAAAATGGACCCATTCTCATGTATGTGGGCCGTGTCTCTGTGGAAAAAGGCATTGAAGAGTTCCTCAAGCTCCCCATCCAAAAGGGAACCAAATATGTGGTGGGGGATGGAATGCAACGCCAATATTTGGAGAAGAAATTCCCCAGTGTCATCTTTCTAGGATACATCAAGGGAGATGACCTGGCAACAGCCTACTCCAATGCAGATGTTATTGTCTTCCCCAGCAAGACAGATACCTTTGGCAACACCATTACAGAGGCGTTGGCCTGCGGGACTCCTGTGGCAGCTTTCCCGGCCCCTGGTCCTCTTGACACAATTGGGAACAAGAAGGAAGTAGGATCTGTCAATGAGGATCTAGCCCAAGCCATTGAGGATGCATTGACGCATGGGGATTCAGAGATCTGTGCAAAGTATGTGCGCGAGAACTACACCTGGGAAATTGCCACTCAGCAGTTCTTGGACAATTTGGTGTTCCGTCACAATCCCAAGGGACATGCTCTTGAAGGAGTTCACAAGAAAACTGATGGTGATGTTGAGTGTTTGGCACAGGAAAGTGAGAGCATGCTTCTAGTATCCTCGATCATGTCTCTGGGAGCTGTTATCTTTGAGGGTCTCCTGCTGATTACGTATGTGTTTCTGCGATGCCTCCGGTTGGTGCCAAGTTACACCTTGAAACTCCTCTTCCGCAACCTCCAAAGGGACGAATGAGCTGATTGGGCCAGCAAAGGAGCAAAGTGATTTAGAGTTGTGATGTTGATGTTTGTGCTTGTTTCGGTGGCGTGCATGTGTGTGTTGATGGACTTGACGTACAGTAAGCGTGTTTAGCAAGTAGAAGCATGTACTACAATTGTCTTTGGCCTGTGTGGCGGCGTGGCACTCTGCTGGTTCTCTGTGTCAGTTTTCAGCTCTTGCGAGATACGGTAGGTAGGCTGAATTGGCTTAGGCGGCATTGTTTGTGAAACCGAGGTGCGTTCTCTAGAAGGCTTGGACTGGCAGGTGGCAATGTGCGATCGTGCCCCTGCCTGTCTTCGGTTGGGACTGTTTTCGCTGGACTTTCTCCGGTACTGTATCGTGGGGGTTGACTCTGATCCGAGCACAGCGTGGGGATCTACCCACAAAGCTGTTGGTTTCAATCTTGCCTTTGGTACCATCAGCGTGGAAACGGAAGTTATTGCTGTGTGGTAGAACAAAACGTTCTTCATAAATACGATTTCACTTCGTCTCATCATAACCAAACTATCGAAGAACGAACAGTTCGAGGGGACCATGGCGGAACCAAGCGTGAACGAGATGCTAGCCGACTTTGCGGTGGACTTTGAGAGCAAGCTGAAGACAAACAACCTCAAGCAAAAGGAAGATGAGTTATCACTGGTGATTGACTATTCTTCAAAGATTGAAGCCAGTTACAACGAACGCTTCGAAAAGCAAGTGATGTGCAATACCAAAGGTGACCCTGAGGCGGTGGATTGTGCACGAAGCATCAAGGCATTCTGTGATGCCCAGGCAAAGAAGACCGCCAGGTACGAACCGCACAGTAAATTGACATGTTCCTCGCTGCCAAGATCTCACGGGCTGAGGCTCACTTATTGTTTCCCTGCAATTCTCAGCCTTGAACACGCTCGGCAAACTCTTCCCAAAGAAATCAAGGCGATCAAGCTCGAACTCGGCATCCCTGACAAAGAAGAGCCACCGGAACGCAGGACTCACTTTCGTCGTCCTCAATGGGGCTCTACTGGATTTCGTAGGTCCGGCCCAGAGCCGACGACCGGCACAGACGATGATGACCTCATAGAAATGGAAAAGGACATTGTGTGCATGGAAGAATGCGTCAGGGAGTGCAAAATTGCGTTTTTAGAGCACGGAGAACCAAATATAACTTCATTGGACGCGTTGCTAGATGAACTGGAAGGCGTGCAGGTGAGAGATTGCTTATTCAAGAGACGAAGCCCAAAAAAGCGGGCAACAAACCATGGTCAACCGGCATTCTAATATTGCTTCGTTTCATGTTGCAAGGACGCATTGATGGAGAGTATCTCCTCGGACTATCCCGAACACTCCGACAAAGGCAAGACGCTTTTCAAGGCCAGCCAGAACGTGTGGCGGCAGGTATGGGACCTGGCCAAGCTGATGAACGAGGCAGCGTTCCGGTAAGTTCTTCTCGTGTCATACATACTACTTGCAAGGTCCTTTGCATCTAACCTTGCGCAATGTGCCTCCCTATCGCTACCATGATAAGCCTTTTGAAAGAATCGGAGGCTCAGGACCCTTGCATTGGCCGTACAAGCCTTCGCTGAACAACAGGAGCAACCAAGCGTAAAGCCAATAGTGAAATGAACCGAACTATTCACATAGCTTGCACAAGCGTTCTACCTGTATCATTGATAGTTACTGGTGCGGTAGCTGTGACGAGGCAGTCCGGCACGAGAGAGATGATCTCGGAGCTAATAATTGACGCCTTCTTCTTCAGCCACTAGTAGCACAATGAGAGTTATGGCCTCGAATGAATATTGTCTGTTCAAGTTCTCAGGTGACATTCGAGTTGAACCCAAGATGCTGCTGCAGTATTCAACTCGCATCCTGAAAGGCATTCAAATCGGTCAGGTCCAATGGGGTGGCATCAAGCAAAAGAGCACCTGTGACACTTTTCTTCAGATCAACACAGAACCCTTGTCCAAAAACGAACGCGCCTTTTCCACCGAAGTGTTCGTTGAAACGTTGGGCCATTGCCTGTAACTTGCCATTTGGAAGCTTGCTGTTGTGCGCATACATGGCAGACGCGTAGAACAGCTTGGCATCGATCTGCACATCGTAAATAAGCTCCTGTGGACAGTTCGTTTTGTTCAGTTGGGTTCTGAGTGGGATTCTTGCATTTAAAGGTTGCAGGTAGCCAGACGTTGTCAGTGCACGTACCATGTGAGACGAGAATGGACGTAGAGAGTGCAATTGTAGGTATTGTTGACTGACTACCGTATGCGCTGTAGATCGGCTCTTCCGCCCCAAACTTACCCATTTCACGAGATGGCCATTGATGGAAACTGGGCGGGTGAAGAGGATATCTGGAGTGGGCCCTCGGCGACGGCGCCCTGCCTTCATCTCTGCGAGTAGTTCAGCCTCTGTAAGAAAGACATCTTGATATCCCACTGTCGTTGTCCGCAGGTAAGCCTCGACTGCTTTCTCGAACAATGTTGCGGCCTGCTGCTGCCCCTTTGCCCCGCCCATGCTAGAAGAATGGGTCACACGCCCCATACCTCCCTTGAAGGATCGCAGCATGGTCCGGCGGAGACTTAGCGCTTGGTGCATCGTCATGCCATGCCTGGCACAGGCAGCGGCAATCTCTTCCTTCCGATGCCGTGGGAGATCTCTGCCCCTCCCCCACTCTCCTCGTCTGTGGAGAAACTGACTCACCTTTGTTTCACATTTCTTCGATGCAACTTTCATGTTGCAAGGCCAGTCAATCTCAATTGCTCTTGAAGAGGAGTCCATGGAACGAGATTTTTAAACTACTAAAGCCAGCACTATAGTGAGGACAATACTTGGCTGAATTTGAGACCAAGCAGCCCAGCCAATGCCGAAGGATTTGAAAATTTCCGCCAGGGTACAGATCTACGTGCCATACCATACAGTGCCAAGTGCCACCAAGCTTCTATTATGATAATGTACCAGGAGGAAGACAGGTTTAGAAGGGTAGTTGCGGTAAATATAGGGTTAAAGTTAAATTTTTTACTCGCATGTAATTTACCGCAACTACCTAAACTCCAAATTGGCCTTGCAGAGCAGAGCACGGAATCAGGACCAAAAACTCAAATTTCTGCTGTCCTTGGGTGTTGTGGTATTGTACTAGTACGCTGTACGGTACAGCCGTAGCAGTGTGTCTCCCAACAGCGAAATGGTGATTTCTTGGGCCTCTTGAGGTGAATAAATAATTCGCCCAAGTCCAAACTCTTAATTGATTTCATGGATACCGGTACTTACGGAGGGACCTACGTGGCACTATTGCCAGCTGAACCATTACATAGCTTACGTACGTACTGTACTAGTAGCAGTGTGGTACCGGTACCCGGTGTGGTACTGGTAGCCACGTGTACCTGTACAATTCTAGCTGATGTTGGCCACGCATGTACGTATGAAAAACATAAAAACACAGAAAGATAAACAGAAAGGGTCACTAACTAAAAGGATCGTGTAAGTTCAAGTATTTAACAAGAAACAAGATGATTAATTCCGCTTGGTTTTCTTTTCAGTCCAATGCATGTGGAGGATAGTTGCAAGTGGTTTTACCACAAACGGCCACAAAACTCTGATGTTTCATCGTGCTGCCGACCCGCTTTGCGACTCCACTCCCCACTCCACAATCAAGTGAAAGTGTTACAAAAGCTGTGACAAACCAATATGAACGACCCGCAATGCAACAATGCCACCCAACGATCCAAGTCAAGCAAATGGAGATTATTGGCAAGGACAACCCTTTTGTTCTTCCTTTCTCTGGTGCCGATGATCGTTTTCGTCGTGCTCACACAAGAGGGCGATGGTACATGGAAGGACTTTAAAAGCAGCCGATGTGACGAATACTGTGAAAACAGTCACCAGTGCGATCATGAGATGGAAGAACGCCCAACAGTGCAGCAACCTGTCAACGCATGGACAAGTATGATGTATATTTGGGCAGGCCTTTGGCCCATCGTTGCCATCCGAGCTGATATGGGCACAATGGTATTTCTTGCCGCGAGTAGTTATCTTGCAATTGGCAGCTTTTTCTTCCATGCCTCCCTTGTCACGTTTTGGCAGACAGTCGACATTGCCGGAATGTACACACTCTTTGCAGCCTTGGTCGGTCACGGCATGCATACACTGACTGGTCTCTGCTGGCGCTGGATAGCGATACCTGTTGTTGCCATGGCTATCCTTCCACTATTCTTTAAGGACGATATGGAAGAAGTGGGTATAGGATCTACCAAAATAGGCATGGGATTTTTATCTCTGATATGTCTGTTATCGGCAATCCATCTTGGGGCGCGAATCCGGCAGAAGATTAAGAGGCCCAACCCCCAACCCCGTCAGGAAAGGTCCAAGGGGCTTGATATAATCTTGCTGACTGCATGGATCCTTCTACCAGGCGTTCTCTTTGTTGCAGGTTTCGTTCTCCGACGGCTCGACCAGTCAAAGGATTGGTGTGATCCTGACGCTTTCTTTCAGGGCCACGGCTTTTGGCACTGCGCAACGGCGCTTGCCTCCCTGGTGCTCTGGTTATTCTTTGATAGCGCGAATCCACAGAATGACCTAAAAGGGGCTACGGATGAGCATTATGGCAAGGGTTTCAACACGGAATGCGACGATTTGTCGGAAACTGCCAAGAGTGTTGAAGCTGCTGGAGAGGACAGCGAAGGGGGATTCGCGTGCGCGAGCGAAGAATACAGCGCATGAAATGTTGGCTGCAAGAACGAAACCAGGTACCGGTACATGTACCGGTACGGATGAAACATACCGGTAAGCCAGAGATGGTATTACGAGGTGCGTGGGTTTGGCTCAAGCCTATGAGCTGGTACGTAGTTGTCGTGTGTCAACTATAACACTTAGCTGTCGCCAATTCCTTCATCATCCCCTTCTGATGACGATTCATAACTGTACTCACTGTCATTGTCGTCATCATCTTGCGAATCCGTCTCGTACTCGCCAGTTTCATATTCCGAAGGGGGGGATGCTTCTTCTTCCGAAGATGACTCTTAAGTATCCACCAGAAGCGTCTTTCGTTCGTGATCGGTCACCTGTAACGTCTCTTTTTGATCATCACCAAGTGCAAGTTCACCGATCTTCACCGCAAGGTCAGGTTGATTATACTTTTCTTGGACACTGTTGACTATTTTGGCCATGTATCGGTTGCAGATCTAGGTCATGACATGTTCATGGTACGGATGAAACATCAGCCAGAGATGGTAGTACGAGGTGGCTCAAGCCTATGAGCTGCTACATAGTTTTCTTTGTCAATTATAACACTTAGCTGTCGCCAATTCCTTCATCATCAGCTTCTGATGATGATTCGTAACTGTACTCACTATCATCCTCGTCATCATCGTGCGAATCCGTCTCGTACTCGCCAGACGAGCTTTCATATTCCGAGGAGGATTCTGCTTCTTCGGAAGTTGAGTCTTCAGTATCCACCAGAAGCGTCTTCCGTTCGTGATCGGTCATCTGTAATGTCTCTTTTTGATCATCACCAAGTGCAAGTTCACCGATCTTCACCACAAGGTCAGGTTGATCACACTTTTCTTGAACACTGTTGACTATTTTGGCCATGTATCGGTTGCAGATCTCATAAATACTCCGTTCATATTCAATTGCAATGGTCCTCTGGTGAATCTTTTGGGCTCGAAGCCGGAGATTTTCTTCAAAATGAGGCAAGTTTTTGACCAATGCCTTGTGTTTGGTGACTTCAGCCTGGTGAATGTTCTCAATCTTTTTGTAAAGTGCAAAGGTCTCTTGATGCGCCTTTTCCAATGCCACAGTGTCTTGGTGCAGGGCAAAGATTGCTTGTTTGGCGTGCATGTTTTGTTCCTTCAACGCCTTTTGTTCCATTTGCAGCAACTTCAAGACGTCCTTATTGGATGTGATTGTCGAATGTGATTGTCGAATTGTTTCCACTTCCTCCCTTTCTGCTGCCTGCACATCCCGCAATTGTTGCTGGAGTCGGACCATTCTAAGTCCTTGCGCCTTGATACCTTCCCGTTCCTGGGTGCAATCCAGAAACCTCTCCGGCTCGTCTTGCAGGTAGAGCTTGGATTTTGACTTGATCCTTGCCATCATGTTTCGTTTGCGACTATTCGGTGACGATGTACCCTTACTGTTCATGGATCTTGATCGAGTTCGACGGATGGGTTCAACGCCCGACGAAGACCGTCCGTTCCTACTAGAACTTGTTTGTGGTCGAGGAGACCTTGATGATCGACGATTGTTGTTAGAAGAAGTTGTCTTGTCGGCATGTCTCCTTGCAGCAGACGACCGATCTTTGTTGTTGTTGTTGTTGTTGTTGTTGTTGGACATTGCAGAAGACGATGAGTTTGGTGCATTGCCGGAACGATGGCTTCGCGTTCGACGTCGGCGACGGCTTTCATCATTTTCGGCTCCTTCCCGCCGCTTTCTTAGCTTTCTTTCTTCGTATCGTTTGCGACGCCGTCTGCGTGCTTCCTCTTCGGTTTCCTTTCTCTGTTCAGTGGTGGATGGATCGTGATTATCGTTGTCGCGTCCATCCGTATTCTTCTCGTTGGACTTGATACTTTCGGGAACCAACAAAGATGATGGAGTTTCCAGTCCTTTATCTGCAGCGTCACGGTTGTCCTTGGCAGCACTACTACTCTCGGCAACGGAAGACGATTTGTTGGCTGCATTGGTATCCTTTTGTTGTTGTTCTTCTGCGATTGTAACCGGCCTGGATTGGCGATTGCTGCTGTCTCGGACTCGTGAACTGCCACCTGTAGTTCTGGAAGACCTTGTACTACGACGACCGCTTCGTCGCCGATCCTCCGAGCGGTCATTGTTGGAAGAGGAAGAATCTCTGTTGTTGGAAGTCCTGGTTCGTCTTGAGGATGATGAGGAAGATTCAGGTTCTCTGGGACGTCTAGACCGCCGTGTTGTCGTTTCTACATGTATGTCTCTTCCACCACCACCATGTCGCTGCTGTTTGTCGAGAGACCGTTGTTTCCTCATTTGTCTCAGTTTGTGTTTGGAAGCAACCAGTGGATCCTGTTTCTTGGTATCTTCATCGTGGACAACGGTAAGGCGACGCTGCGACATGGTTTTGATGAATTGTTGTTCAATAGCCTCTTCTTCATCATCTTCAATCAGTGCCATGAGATTGCGTCGCGACATGACCTTGTTGGCATCGCTGACTCGACCGACAGCCTCTTTGCTGTCTTGAATAAAAGCAAATGTGGCATTGATCTCATTTTCGATTTTTTCCAGTTCCGATTCATATGTGCTCTTATTGTTGGTGCTGTTGTTTCTCTTGTGGTCCACTTCATCAAATACCTCGTTGATTTGTTGAGAGACCTTTTCCAATTCTTGCTGGTAGGAACCATCGGTAGGAGTACTACTAGTAGTAGATTGTCCTGTTGTCTTTTCGCTCTTCAAGAGGACCAGAGACTTGGAGCGTTGACCATCACTCACGGTGGATCGTCGAGGCGATCTCTGCCGACCTCGGTCTCCTCTTCCTTGTGAACGTGAACTCTTTGTACTACTACTACTAGTACTTCTCTTGGTAGCTCCTGCCTTGGTATCCACCGCCTTCTCCGACTCCTTCACAGGACTGCTTCTACATATATTAGCATTCGCTGGGGCCACATCAACCGGCACAGCGATTCCTTCGCTCGTTTCTTTCTCCAACAATTCTGGCATCCCTTCTGCTTCAGCCACATCATGGTTACTCTCGTTATAAAGACTCTCAACGGGTGGATCCATCATGGTGTGCGGTGTTGAGCTGCTGCTTCGCCAACCATGTCCGCGATACCTACAATACGTAGCACCACAGAGCACAACCTTGCAAGCATGGTTTGGCTTCTTGCTGGATCTTGCAACTGGATCTTTCGCGCAAATCTTTTTGCTTCCTCTGAAGCATTAATTAAAAGCGGACATGATTCCATGCCTGCGTTAATTAACACCTGCTCGTACTCCGAAACCGGCGTTCTGCGCACTGCGCACCGCCGTCCGTTGGCCTGCTCCCTCTTGACCGTTTCATATTTTGGGTGCGAAAGCTGTATTGCTGCAGTATCACAGAAGATATCGAAGGCCCACCCACTTGCTCGTCTAACATGCAGTGGGTGCGTTCCCGTTGCTGATGGTAGCTATCCAGTGCACTCTCTCACACACAACTCTCACTTTATCCATCTTGCCAATGGAACATGGGCAACTGCGTGAACCGAACAGGCCCACACCATTGGAGTGGTACGGGTGGTCTTGAATTACAAGTTGCTGCTGTCAAGGAAGCACAAAAGGAGATTCGTGTCGCACAGCAAGAAATCCAAGATGCAGAAAAGGGCCTTCTCGAGGAAACCGACCAAGAACGCAAGGAAATTTATCGCGCCAAACTTCGTCGGGCCCAACATCAACGAGAAGCTGCCCAGGATCTGTTGCATCGTCATTTGCGAATGGCCAATGCACGAGACATGATCCAGCTGATTGAAGAATCGGTCAACGTGCAAAGGAGAGAAATCGAGTCTTTGGAACAAGATCTCGCAAACCAACAAGCAGCAGAAATACCTGACAAAGAACGACAAGAAACAATAGTCAAGACTCTAAACCAAAAGAAGATGGAGCTATCCAACAATGTCAAACGACAACAGCAGTTCTACAGCGTGGTGCACGAAAATCTACACGTGCAAGCGAAGATCGGTGCCAGGGTGGATGACACTCCCAATGATACTACTACAACACACGGTGACAATGATGTGCTGGCTACAAACGATCAGAAGACGACACAGGCACAAACAAAGCACGAAACACAAAGGTATACATCCACTGACAATAGAGATCAGGAAGAGTTTCACAACACTGAACCAAACCCTGACCAACGAGAATCCCCAGATATCAGCATAGCTGACAAACAACGTGTCAAGGACGATCACGACTTGCGAGCTCGGGTGGCCGAGTATCATGGATTCTCCGAAAGGGAAACTGAGTCAAAGATCGTTTTAGCTCGGTGCTGCGTGACACAGGTGGTAGGAGACGAAGATCAAGTCCTCATGACGCACCTAATACCTAGGGGATCGCGCACTCCCATCCTGGAGTTTTTGGGAATCAATAATCTACCAAATGGAATTGACAACTTTGGCAATCTCATTCTGCTGGTCAAGAACATCAAACTGGCTTATGATGCTCAGAGACTATGCTTCGTCATGAATTCTGCAGAAGAAGACCCGGCATCTATTGTCCTGAAGATACTCGACCCACTGCTGGAAAAAGAACCTATCTACGATGGAGCCACTGCGACTATTGGGATGTTTGACGGTAGTCCATTATTGTTTGATGAACGGAAAGTACCACTCACTCGGGTCTTGTCGATGCATGCTAGGCTGGCATATTCCGGTGCCAAGGACAAGAAATGGATCCCAAAAGATGCCGTTCTGCCAGAAGAGTTCGGGTCTCCTCTTGCAAACGATACAATTGTGGTCATGTCATCAAAGTCGAGACGAGGGAGGCAAAAACGACGCAAGGGAAAGCGCGACAAGGACTGTCATCAATTTGAAACCGTCGAAGCCGTTCCATCGTCTAAAATGGTTAGGGAAAGACGGAAAAGGGCATCCTTCAAGAGTCTGACCACCAGCAGAGAGTTTACCGATCTATTGTTTTGACCAAGGCGTATACAACTATGTAGTTCTACCTTACATGAGGCGACATGTTTTGTTCCTGCTGTGCATTCTGCCGGTGCACGCGTACATGTACCAATTGGCTTTCGACAATCGTCGCAAGCAACCTGTTAGTTCTGTGCTATAGTACAGATGTACCGGTCGCCGCCTTCTAAAGGTTACCGATACTTTAGTATCACCCAGGTTAGCATGCAAGAGTTGGTGTAACCGGTGGGCGCATCATTCAGCCCTTCCACGTTCCACGGTCCCGGTGGCGACATGTCCCGGTGCATGCGCAGCGCGCTCCGCACCCCCGCCTCGGCTTTCGTTCGCGTTGACGCTGTAAATAACGGCTAATAAAAGGATCCAACCACAAAGAGACACCGGTCCCCAAACCCCAAAGCACTCTTACGGGTAGACATAATCGATCAGCTTATCAGCTTACGCATCCTCATTCCAGTGAATTGTTGCACAAAAAGTAACAGAAGAATCATCATGCCGTTCGCTGTGTTGTCCTTTAATGCTACCGATGGACTCCAACTGGCCCGCTTTGTGCTCAGTTGTCCTGATACCCTCAAAGCTCATTTGGAAGATGCGCTGTGCGTTGAGTTCCCAGAAGATGCCGAAGACGACGAACCGCAAGAGGAGTTCTATTGCATTTGGAAAGGCAATGACTGCGTCCTAAGCAAGGGATACTACCTGGAGGTTCACGATTTATTGAACAAGATCGAAATGAATGGCTGGAAGATAGACCAATTCAGTACCTCGTTGACAGGGAGTGGTGTCCAGTGTCAAACTTATGTCTTTCAGCAGCAGATCTAGGTTGGCTGCAATACACTGATTGACATAGATTGATAACGGAATCAAGCATTTGGCAAACATGGAAGCGAGAAAAGAGGCGCAGTTCTTGGAGGACTGTTGTCAGGAGGACTGGCCAAAGGAAAAGAGTTAAATTGGGTCGTCGCTTCGATGAAATTGGGTCTAAAAACACCAGTAAACGTTGCCGGAATTCTGGATGCCTTACCATTCTTTATGTTGAGGTTTCACAAATAGCGATCTTTATCTGTTGGTTAGCTAAGGTAGGACCCAGTTTTGCAGTTACGCCGTATCCGCGCCAACAGTACGGTACTGGTACGGTAGTCGTGAGGCACTTCGTTTCTTGGTTAGCATCCTGAAGCTGTTATGATACCGTATTCGCTACCAACGACGCATTCGTCAACATCAGAGGAAGAAAGGATATAGTACAGAAAATTACATTAGTCTAGTGTCCACCTGCGAAGACAGGAAGATCTTCTCAATGAATCCCACAACTTTGGGTAGGATGTTCTTGCGAACGAAACAACACCACGACAAATAGATGTATTCATGCAACAACATTGACTCAACTCGACTCGACTCAACTTTAACTCCATCGGTCGTGATAATGCCCATCCCTTGCTACCCTATTGATAGGGTTCAGCTGGCAAGCACTAAGGTATTCCCGGGACTTGGTCCGCCCCTGACATCCCATAGAAAGGTAGATTGTTATTGTCACCTCGAAAGAGATTCAGCTGCAGCTTCCCGGGAAACTTTGGCCAATTCATCAGTCCATTGCATACCGTCCCACCCAAGTTTGATCATGCGAACAGCGTTTTTCCTCTTGACTCGAGACACGCTCCTAACACACAGGGATGCCAGATCCTGATTCCGTATCAGGTGTACTGTGGGATACGGGGCTCGATGCATGGCATTATCCGGTAATGGCTCACCCAACAGTTGATCCTGTTCAAATACAATCCAATCAATTGGGACATATTGCTCTTTGCTGTCATGATG